CGTCGTCGTCGTTCGGGGTCGGTGGTCGGGGGGGGGGGGGCGGCCGGGAAAGGTTGCAATCGACGGCGGCGATGGTCGGCAGCGTCCCGTCCGTCGTCGGACCGCCGTCCGTCCGCACGTGTTTGCCCGCCAACGCCAGGTCCGTCCGTCCGTCTCTTCGGTCGCATCGGCCCTGGACTCGACCCGTCCAACTAGCCAGAGCATCAGCAACGCTCTATCTGATCTCATCCACCTCTCCTCTCCTCGCCTCTGTCAGAAGGCTGCACGATCGCCAAGACCGAGGTGCGCTCGTCGTTGATCCGACGCTCGAGATCTTCTCACGAACCCCCCCCCAAACGACGATGAAAGGGTGCAAGCAGCAAGGGGGTTTGGGTCAAGATCGACATGGTCGGCGCTCCATGTGTTGGTTTGACCCAGCAGCAGCAGCGTGTAACGTGTTCCGTTGCCCCGGGACCGGCAGGTTTGGCCAGCACGCTCCGGCAATATGCGCCAGCTGCCTTCATGCCCCGCCTGCCTCGTCATCCCGGCCTGCTACCCTTCGTCATCAGGAGCGGAAGGATGGCCTCCGAACACGCACCAGCAGCCAGCCTCACGGCGGCACCGCGGGGGAAGAGACGATGGCGCACCTGCTCGCATGCTCGAGGTGGGGTCATGCCACCCCCCTCGTCTTTCGCGCCGCGGCATAAAAACGTCGAATGCCAGAGAGCCCTCCTGTAGCCTGTGCAGGCCTGCCTCGTGTCGTCGTTGCTCCCCGATCCACAAAGGGGCCTTCATGCACTCAGAGGCAGGCTATGTAGCCATCGAAGCGGTGGAAGCGATCCACAGATCCCCCATCTGTTGTCGAGTCGGACGTCGCGTCTTGCATCCCTCGATCGAGCTTGCCACCTCGTCCACGCCTGTCCGCGGATCGTCTCGTCCTCGACAAGACGGACACTGATGTCCCAAGCAGCCGCCAGCGCTTCCGCAGCAACACCGTCAAACCCGTCGACGTCAACCTTCTTCTAGATTATCGCTTGGCGGCCGACGTGCAACAAGTAGCAACAAAGACAATGGCGGGAATCAAGCGACTGCACCGCTCTAAAAGTCCATGCCGAGGAGGTCCGGGTTGGTCTGCTCGACGTGCCGCACCGCCTCTCCAAACAGCCCGTTGACCCACGCAAACCACGGCCGGGTAAAGTCGGTGGCGTTGGACACATTGATGCTCTCGTGCAGCAGGCCCGTGCCCGCCGTCGTGTTGCGCAGCAGGCTCAGCGCATCCCGCTGCTCGTCGGCGTCCGACGTCGTGAGGATCTGCATGATCCGCGACATGGGCTGTCGAGGTGGTGGTGGTGGTGGTGGTGGTCATGATTGGCCGAGAGGGACAGGGACCGGGTGAGGTAAGGTGAGCACAGCATTCGTGGGCAGCCCGCCTCGATCTCGCGGGCATCGGCACGTCGTACTCACCCAAGCGTATCCCCAGCCGACGTGGGGCCCTCCGATGCCGCTAAAGTCCTTGTCGCCGAAGAACCACTTGTTGGTCCTCTTGTCGAGCACCGCCTTGCGCGTGCGCTGGTAAGTCTCGTCGTCCTTGTCCACGTAGCCCAGGTAGGGCAGGCTGAGCAGGCTGGGCACGTTGGCATCGTCCATAAAGTAGCTCGAGCCGTAGCCGTCGACCTCGAATGCGTACACGTTGCCCGCGTCGATGACGCCGTCGACGGCCTTGCGCGGCAGCACGGCCCACTCGTCGATGGCGGCGCGGATCTCCTGGGCAAAGTCGCGCGCATTGGAGGCGACGTCCTGCATCGCCTCGACGCCGTCGAGGAGCGGCGCCAGCTTCTCGAGCGCCACGGCCAGCTGCGCATTCGAGGGGATCAGGAAGGGCAGCACCGTCGAGTCGTCCGAGGGCCGGAAGCCGCTCTTGACCAAGCCGGTGCGCTTGCCCGGCTCGCCCCATCCCTTGTCGGCCTTTGTCTCGGAGGCGGAGCGGTCGAGGCGCTGGAAGCGGTAGACGCCGCCCTGGAAGCTGCCGAAGCGCTGCGCCCATTCCGAGTCGCGCGACGTGAGGTGGGGCGGCAGCATCGTGGTCGAGTTGGCCTTCTCCCACGCCTCGTGCTCCTCGACCGAGCCGCGCTGCTGCGACCGCAGCGTGTCGATGGCCATGCGCACGGCGCGCTGCCACGTCTTGTTGTCCACAAAGTCCTTGCGGCCGCTCGTCTCGGCGAGGAGCGAGGGCAGGCGGAGGTGGGCGGCGAGCGAGTCGACCTCGTACTTGATCTCCCACACGTAGATGCCGTCGTTGCCCTTGACCTTGCTGTACGAGGCGGGCGGAGCGGGCAGGTAGTGGCCCTTTTGGCCGGGCGGCGGCGGCAGCACCCAGTCGGCGTCCGGGTTGGAGCCGTTGACCGCCTGGTTCTTTTCGTGGACGATGGTGGCGCTCTTGGGCGGGCCAAACGAGTTGGCGTAGGGGTGGGTGAGGACCTGCTGGGCCTGCTGGTAGAGGAGGCCGAGGGCGAGGCGGTAGAGCTTGTTCCACTCTTCATCACCCCGCTTGTAGGGCGCCGGCGGAGTCTCGAGGAGGGGGAGGTAGGTGAAGAGCTGGTTGGTCGAGTCGCGAAGCCAGGCGGCGTTGATGTCACCGGTGATGATAAAGGAGCGCGGGAAGGCCTTTGCGTGGTCGTTCTGGTCGAGCTGGAGGTCGGTCCAGCCGACGGTGGTGTCGAGGGTGTTTGGGTAGGCGTTTGTGAAGATGCGCTTGAGGGCCGGGTCGCGGATCTTTGCCGTGATGCGCTCGATTTCGGCCTCGACAATCTTGCTGACGAAGCGGCGCTTGCCCTTGTGCGGCCTGGCGTTGGGCAGCTTGTCGAGGGGCAGGTCAGGCTTGACGGGCGGGAACTTGTACGCCGGGTCTCCGCTGGCGTCGGTGGTGGCCTGGCCTGGCTCGCGAGCCTCGAGGAGGATGTCGGCCGACCGCTCGTAGAGGCCGCCGAGGACCTGCTGGCCGTGGGCGTCGGCCGCGCTGGGGAGGGCCGAGGCCGAGTAGCTGCCCAGCGCAAGGGCGAGGGCGAGGTAGCGCGAGAGGGCGAGCGTCTTCATGGCGGGGCGACGGTCAGAATCTTGAGGACTATCCTTTGAGGTGGTGATGGTGGCGGCTCGGAGCGGGCCCAGTGAGCGGAACGACGGTTCCAGGAAGGGATGGGGAGGCTGGATGCGGGGGCTGCAGGCTAAGAGAGGGCGACGGGGGCATGAACCCTCCGAGTCGCGCGTCGAGTCTTATACGCCGTGGTGCTCGTCTCTACCATCTCTTCGCCCTCCGAGGTGGGGTAGGGATGGTGTGCCGCATGGCAGCCATGCTGCTGAGCCGTCGTCTGATCTGCAGATAGATCGACGTGCCATCAACGGCGGTGTAGGCGCTGCTCCGGGCGAGCGAGGCTAGACTCGGCGAGGTGGTTGTGTGGGGGAGGCCGCGCTCGTCACCGGCGAACTCTCTGGCCGTCTCAACGACAGCCAGCAGCGCAGCCGAAGGGACGGCCCAGGACACCGGCCAACGAGATCGTATCTGCACGGTACCGCTGCGAGATGCGGCCGCGGCTGCGGTCGTACGTATGTCTTGCAGGCCCAAGCCGGGCAGAACTGCCGGTTCCACCTCTTCATAACCTTTGTTGTAATGGAGAGCGGCGTACGTACTGTACGCTGACCGTGCCTGGACCATGGTACGTAACGAGGCAAGAGGGCGGTCGGGTGGAAGGAAGCCAACCCCGGATGTGGATGCGCTCGACGTTGGGGCGAGGCAGGCCAGGCGAGGACCGTTTGTCTGGCCGCACGCAGCGGCCCCAGAGCGGAGGCCTGCAGCCCCTCCGCCTTTTACGGTGAGGCCAGGCGTGCGGGGCAGAGTCGCCCCTCACCGGCGAAATCGGCGGGCGAGCGGAGCCGAAATTGCTCAACCCCCTCTGCCCATCCTGCGATGGGTGACAGCTGTAGAATTTCGGTTCCGAGCTCAAAATCGAAAAATCGGGCTTGCCTCGCAATCCTTGACAGCCCGATCGTTCTGCAACCTGTCTTATACAGCCCGATCGAACAACTTCGACAGACTGGAGGGCGCGGCTCCGAATCCAGGCGATGCCTGACAGCCGATTTTTCCTTCTGACATGTGTCTTGTTCCCCGATTCGAAAAATCACCCGATCCATTGCCTGGCGATTGACAGCTGTCATGCTTACGTCAACCCAACGCGATGCGCTCAAACCCTCCATCTCGGAGCCGACCGAGGCGCAAGCAGGCGACTCGACCACCTTGCTTTTCGCTCTTGTTTTCGAGCGGCTTTTCGACAACCACCGCTTGGGTTGGAGCCGTGGATGTCCCATTCACCTTTCGGGTTGTCGCGATCTGATCAAGACCCCGCTGCTGTGGTCCATCGAGCGGCCGAGCAGCGTCGGTCGCGCACCGAAGAACTAGTAGTGGCCACAGAGAACGCTAGAGCATCGGTCAGCCTTCGACGACCTGCTCGTGCTCGAGTCCAGCACGTCGACGTAACAAGGGCGGAAGCCACCATCGCTATAGGATCAGCGAGATGGTCGAGGCAAACACGCGAGGCAGGTGGCATGGCGGCCTGGAGACGGAGGCGAGCTCGTCGCGAAAACACCTGCCGACCGCCGACGACTGCAAAAGATCGCAGAGATGCGTCGAGAGCGCGGGACGAGGCAGACAGACAGACGCGCGCGCTGATGTGGTTTCATGCCTGGTTGTGCTGGATTGCTGGTAGCTGGCGCCCTGGTTCGATCGCCGTGGTAAAGGGTGGTAGTAGTAGTACAGGAGAGGACAAAACGAGACCGAAAAAAGGAGAAGATGAAGAGAAGCCGGGAAGGGGTGCGGGTGGTGCGCTACAGTGTACGGAGCCGGAAGGATGCGCACGCAGGCCTACAGAGGGCGCTGGTACCTAGCGGCTCGGGAGGGAGGGAAAGACCCAACATGGCGGCGGGGGCCACAGGGCCGAAGAGGGAGAGAGAGGAGATGCGAGGGATGCGCGCGAAGACAGAGAGGGGGGAAGCGGATGCTAGCCGCGACGCGCCTACTCCTGCGAGGCAGCGCCCTTCTTGCCGGGCTTGCCGCTCTTGGCGGGGAGGAGCTCGCTCTGGATGAAGGGGAGGACACCACCCTGCGAGATGGTGACGCCGCCGAGCAGCTTGTTGAGCTCCTCGTCGTTCCTGATGGCGAGCTGAAGGTGACGCGGGATGATACGCGACTTCTTGTTGTCACGCGCGGCGTTGCCGGCAAGCTCGAGGATCTCGGCGGCGAGGTACTCGAGGACGGCAGCGAGGTAGACTGTCGATGCGAGCAAGGCACAGGAGGACGGCACAGGACGGTCAGCGACCATGATCACCCAAACAGCGATGGTGCCAACGGCGAGCAAGCACGCTAGCGACCAAGACTCACCGGGAGCACCGGCACCGATACGCTGGGCGTAGTTGCCCTTGCGGAGCAGACGGTGGATACGGCCGACGGGGAACTGGAGACCGGCCTTGGCCGAGCGCGACTGCGACTTGGACGAGGCGTCACCGGCCTTGCCACCAGACTTGCCACCGGAAGACATTGTTGCGAGAGTTGTGTAGGGGTGGGTGGGGTTGGGAGAGGGTTTGTGGGCGTTGTGTGCGTTGAAGGGCGAAGGCGAGATAGCTTGGTGATGGGCGAGTAGAGGGGAGGGGAGAGAGCAGGGTGGAGGGAGTCGAGAAGGTGGCAGGGTTTTATCAGCGAGGCGACCGATGCAGCCGGGGCTGGCAGGGGCCAGTGGACAACGGGCAACGAGGGCCAGCAGGACAGGCGGGCGGGGGCCAAGCGGCCGACGCGCGGAAGCCCCAGCGGAGGCGGAGAGGGGACTCTGGCGCGAGGCCGAGGAGACGCGTCGAGCAGCAGATCGAGGCGGACGGGCAGAGGCGGGAGGAGGCCGGCCCATGCAGCCAGCCCAGCAGGCAGGTTGGTTGACGCTGCCCGGCGTGGAGGTGAACGTGATTTTTTTCTGGACGCTCGCCCGCACGTCATTCGACGGGCCAATCACAGCGAGGCAAGCAATTCGGGTCGACGCTTTATTGTCGACGGTCGACGCCGTCGACACCGTCGACCCTAATTGCCCCTCCCGCCCGCTGGCGCCCCCCCTTGCCCGCCATCGTCCTCGATCCCATCCGGTCCTTGCCGTCGTCGTTATCCCAGAGAGTAGCTGCGCCTGTCACATAGAGTGGCTCAGACTACGAACGAGGCGATGGTGTGGGCGGACTCGAGGCAGGCAAGGGAGGATGGGGCAGAGGGAGGGAGGGCATGGCTGACGACGTCTTCCGTCGTCGCCAGCTGAGGGTGAGAATTAGGGTCGACGGTTGGTCGACGTCGACCCGAATTGCCTTGTCTGGCGGGGGCCTCGGCCAGACGTGGGCGAGGGAGGCAATTAATGTCGATTATTGTCGACGCGTCGACTCGAATTCCCGAAAGAAAATCACGGGCATCGATCTGCGAGCCAGCGAGCCAGCGGAAAAAAAATCACGGGCGAGACCCGGCAGGCAGGGGCAGGCGGCCTGCAGGAGGACCGACGCGCTCGCGTTCAGAGCCTGGCCGACTCGAATTTCCGCCCCTGGGCCGTCTGCCTGCTTGGCTGCCTCTGCCCCGGCAGCACGGCCAACGCGATGGTGCACCCTGCCTGCCTGCCTGCCTAGGCGCAGCAGCAGCAGCAGCAGCCTGGCCTGACCAGCCCAGCTGCCGCCCTCCGTCGCTGCCCGGCCCTGGCCCTTGGCCGCCCTTACCGAGCGGACGCGTCCCTCAGCTCGCCCGCCCCGTCGCTGCTGGCAGGTCCGCAAGAGGTACATAACCTCGCCCTTTCGCGTCAGCCTCCATCAACCTCCCCTCCCTCTCTCTCTCCTCATCATCGCCAACGCCGCCTCCTCGCCTTCAAACCTTCAACGCACACCTTTTCTCTCACCCAAGCCCACCACCCAACTCCTTCGCCCAACATGCCCCCGAAGCCCGCTGAGAAGAAGCCCTCGTCCACCGCCGGCAAGGCCCCCGCCTCGTCTGCTGGCAAGGCCCCCTCGGAGGCCGCCAAGAAGACGTCCAAGGCCCCCGCCAAGTCGGGAGACAAGAAGAAGTCCAAGTCGGTGCGCAAGGAGACCTACTCGACCTACATCTACCGTGTCCTCAAGCAGGTCCACCCCGACACTGGTATCTCGAACAAGGCCATGGCCAGTGAGTGTCGCCGGTTCTCCGGCTTCCCTGGGCTCCACCTCTTTCCCGCTGCAGTCGATCCTGACCCCCCTTCGCGATCCTCTGCGCTCTACCACCTCCAGTTCTCAACTCGTTCGTCCAGGACATCTTTGAGCGCATCGCCACCGAGGCCTCGAAGCTCGCCTCGTACAACAAGAAGAGCACCATCTCGTCGCGAGAGATCCAGACGGCCGTCCGCCTCATCCTCCCCGGCGAGCTCTCCAAGCACGCCATCTCTGAGGGCACCAAGTCGGTCACCAAGTTCTCGAGCTCCAAGTAAACTTGGCGCTTCTCCTTCGGTCGTCGCACTCGTCCCGCGCATCCCACGCACCCATCCCCCTTCGCATATCTCCTGGCCGCATGCCATCCCCACCCACAACTCTGTCCGCCTCGAGCCAGCGGGCCGAGGGCATCCTGGCCACGGTCGGCGGCGCCGCCTCCTCTAGCTAGCGGCGTCGTCTGGCTCCTTGCACCCTCCACCGGGCGCTCGATCCTCCTTCTCTCTTTCCTCTTTTTGGTCGCGTTGTATCCCTTCTCTCTGTACTTTTACTCCCAGCGCCAGCTGACCCCGCGAGACATATCCAGCAGCAATCTGAGCCCATCGGTCAAACCCATCCAGCACGCTTGCCTGTTTGACCGAAGAAGAGTGTCGGGACGCTCGCTCGCTCTGCCTTCGAGGGCCTTGACATGGACGCAGGATGATGGTATAGAGTACAAGGCAGCAAGCAAGACGGCAGGGCAGCCGACAGGCGACGGTGATATGGCTGCGGCCCATCGTCGCCAGCGTGCTGCGGCGGCGGCGGAGGTGTGTACAGGGCGGTCGACGGGGTAGGCAGACGTGTCAGCCCCGCAGCAGTCCGTCGAGGGCGTCCTGCATCCTCTGCATGTCCTTGCGCTCCTCTTCCTCGCTGGCCTGCGGCTCGGGCTGGGCGAGGTCGGGGAGGTGGTCGGTGGTGCTCGCTTGCCCGAGCTTGCCTGGCGGCCGACCGGGAAGGAGCGGGGGATGGGCAGGAGGTAAGCATCGCAATCCAAGTGGGAGCAGCGGAAGGCAAAAGGGGCGAGGGCGAGTGTGGTGCGCGCGCGCGCTTACCGTCGGTGAGCTCAAAGAGGACCTTATCGACTTCGCCTTGCGCCTCTTCCTCCATCTCGTCCTCGTCCTCGCCCAGCACGCCCGAATCTAGCGTGTCGTCCAGCATCTCTTCCATGATGCCGGCCTGGTGGGGGATTGCAGTGCAGTCAGGGTAGTGTGCGGGTTTGAAGGCGAAGAGGGGTTCGTCAGGATCAGAGGCCATCGAGAGACAGGCCGGAGAGAGAGAGAGGAGCGGGAATGGGCGGCCGACGGCGACGCACCTTTGTCATCTCCATGCTCATCTCGCGCATCACCTTGGACACCTCAGGCAGCTTGACGAGCTGGTTCGAGAGCTTCATGATCTCGGTCGATTTGGACATGCTCCCGGTCACCTTGTACATGGCTGTCGCCGGATTTCGACGATGAATGGAGGGAGCGGGGCACAGTGTCGAGAGGTCAGTATCGTCTTGCTCGCGGGGCCCTGCCGCGACGAGCCGACTCAGGCAGGTCTTGCGCATCCCAGCCAGGGATCCAGCCAATGCCTCACCGAGCTGGTGCTGTAGCTGCAGGTTGATGCTGTTGAGCCTGGCCTTGCTGAGGGCGAGGCGATTCCGCTGTTTCCCGGCGCGGACGACTTCCCTTGCGAGCACCTTTGCGTTTTTGGTGTCGCCCTTTTTGGCGAGCTTCTTGATCTCCATCTTGGTCTTGCTGGTGCCCTGGTCAATCTGGCGCATCTCTCGGTCGAGCGCACGCTGCTCCGATCTCAGCTGCGACTGTACCGCCTTGACCCGTTCTGCGATGTCGAGCAGAGTGGGTGTGAGCGGATGCGACCGGGCCAAGACAGGAGCGGATAGGCGGGACCGGGGAAGGCAGGGGCTGCGGTCGTCTCACCTTCCTGCGTGGGTCCAAAGATGAACCGGTTGACCGCCTGCATTGTGGGCGGTGGACGAGATCCTCTGCTCTGCTGTTCGGGAGATGCCAGTGGTCGATGTGTAGCTGGATGGACAGGTCGAGGAAGCAAAGGTCGACTCGGGAGGTACGAGCAGGCGACGGTGTATCAGGCGGCTGTGCGAACGGATGCTCGATGTGGTGCGGGGGGGGGGCCACGCTGCCTTGCTTGTGGAGGCTGTGGGCCCTGTCTCCCTGGTGCGGCCAGCCTCGCTCTGCCCCCTGACGCACGTCGGGTCCGACCCAGCAAGCCAAGCCAGCTCAGACTGGGCCAAGGCCGGGCTGGCTGGGCCCGGGCCCCCTTTGGTTTTTGTCGGAATATTATATTCGCGCTCGGGGCAGGGCCGGGCTTCAAGAGGGTGTGGACCCTGCCCTGCCCCTGCCCCTTGCCCCTTGCCCTGCCCTATCCTCCGTCGCTTGCCTTCACCTCGAAGCCCACCCCTCTCGCCACCATCCTCGCCGCCCTGCTCCACCCGCCCCCGACACCGACGGCCATGGCGCCCTCCGCGCTCTCCTTCCAGAGCCTCGGCACGCGGACCGCCATCATCCTCTCGTTCTGGTCCGCCATCCTCCTCTCGGTGCCCTTCTGGCTGCAGACGACCAACATCGTCCGCCTACCCCTGCCGTCCCAAAAGGTCGCACAGCTCGAGCGGGAGCGCACCTGTCCCGTACGCTTCCGCTCATCGCTCAACGTCCAGCTGCCACACGCCCTGCACGCCTCGCCCGACGATCCCGACTCCTCGACGGCCATCGAGCTCGAGACCAAGCAGCTGCTGCTCGACAGCCTCGAGCTCAAGAGCAGGCGCGCGGGCATACACGGCCTCGCCTGCACAGACTGGACCGTGACCGTCCAGTCTCAAGACGTCAAGTCATTTGGCAAGGCTGCCGACTTTGACTTTCTCGTGCTGCATGGCCGTCCCTCTGACGCTCCCGGAATCTCAGAGGATGGCTTCGTCATCGCACTGCCTGCGCTCGACGATGCTGCGGCAGCGGGCCCCGACATCATCAGCGCGGCCGTCGTACAGCGCCTCTTGCGCATCATCGGACAGGACGAGCTCCCCGTTGCGCAGTCTGCTGTCGACGCTGAGGCGGCAGAGGCGAGCACCGTTGAACAGGATCCGCGCGTCATCCAGTACAACAAGGACATCCGGCTCGTCTTCAGCCTGATGAACGAGGATGCCACGCAGGGCGATGCGTGGAGCAGCTCGATACTGCAGAGCCTCAAGAGCAGCAGCGAACAAGGTACGGGCGACGTGCCCACACCGCTGGGCCCGATCACGGCTCTCTTCGACGAGCTCCACGGCCTCCACGACTTTCACGTCGAGAGCCAGGTGCAGTGGCTCGCTCCGCTGCAGTTCAAGCCGACGGTCGAAGACTTCGAAATCAGGGAGGAGTCAATGGTCGAAGAGACGTACGAGGAGGCCATAGAGGAGGAGGTGGAGGAGGACGAAGCCGAAGGAGACGGCGCGGAGCCGACCACCGAGACTACGACGGCTCCAGCAGCCAACGTTCCTGATGCGACGGACAGCACGGAGGGAGTCATCAATACCGACGAGGCGGAGGTCGAAGCGCTCTTGAAGACGGTCGATGACGTCCAGAGCGAAGAAGCCGAGGTCGATGCCATCCTTGGAAGCCGACCAGAATCGGCGCCCGCTCCTTTGTCGTCGTCATCGAAAGCGCCCGCGGTTGCCGGGCCAAGACGGAGGCGGACCATCACCCGCCACATCCCTAGGACGAGGCTGGTACCCAGGGTCACTACTCGCAACGAGACCCGGCGCCTCGTCGAGTGGGACGACCTCAAAGTGTTTGTCAACTCCGCCGAGTGGAGCCTGTCGTCGACTGTGGCCCCGCAGTCGCGCCTAGAGCGAGACGGTGGCGTCGGCAACCACGAGGCGGCAGACCAGGTGGCGGGACAGACGCACGACCTGCATTTCCTCATCTACGTCCCCTCGGCATCCAATCGGCCGCTGCAGATCCGTGATCCCGAGACTGGCGGGGCGAGCGACAGCAATGCCTGGCTCATCCCGCAGTGGGGAGGCGTCGTGATCCTCAACCCCTCCAGCACCGAGGACGCCTCCAACTCGAGCGTGCACGATGGACCCGCGATCCGCCAGATCCCTTCGGATCAGCTGCGGCAGGCCATGGAGCTGTTTGCCCAGCAGCTCGAGATCCTCGTTGGCTTCCCCCGCCGTCAAGGTGACGCTCCGTTCTCGCAAGGGCGCGAACAGAGGCTGGACGCGCTGCTGTCGAAGCGGATCCTGGAGAATGCGCGCGAGACGGTCGAGACGCTGGCAGGCATCGTGCGGCTGGTGGACAAGATCGAGAACCTGGGCGTAGGCGAGGAGATCAGGAAGGACGTCGACCGCGCCATCGAGGTCCTCGAATCGGTGAGTCGGGTCTGCGTGGACCGAGCCTAGCCCTACTCGTCGAGCGTCGCTGACGATGTGGACCCGCTCTCTCTTTCTCTCTCTTTCTCTCTCTTTCTCTCTTCGCACTGTGCTTGCAGCTCAAGACGCACCTCGAGCGACGCTCCTTTGACCGACACACACACCTGGTCGAAGCGCTGCGCCTGTCCTACACGGCCTCGACGCTAGCATCGCGCGCCTTTTTCAGCCCCAAGATGCTCGGGCTGCTGTACTTCCCCGACGAGCACAAGTACGCCGTCTACACGCCCCTCTTTGGTCCGCTGCTCGTGCCCCTCGTGGTCGCCCTGATCAAGTGCATCAAGGAGTGGACCGCGAGGATACGGGAGGCGAGGAGAGCCAGGTTCAAGGCCAGGGCCTCGCCTCGGAAGGCCAGGGTGAGGCTCTCGACGGGCCGGATCGAGTCGTCGTAGTCGTGCCGTTGCCGCGTGCCGCGTGCCACCTGCAATGGACATTGGAACCTGTACTGCTCGTTGGGCAAGATCGACGTGATCCCGCGTCGTGCGAGCATGCTCTGCTGTTGCGAAGTTCGGATGGTGTCGTACAGCCTCTTGTCCGATCTGGCCAAGCCTGGCCTGGCCTGGTTGGCAGGCCGGCGGCAACTTTGGCGGGATCGCCTCGCGACGCGCGTCGCGAAACTCGCGCTCGGGCCTTGGGCGTTGGTTGGGCTCGCGGCGGCGGGAGGGTTCCTCCACCTTGCTGGCTCTCTGCTTCGGTTGCTGCTTTTCGAAATTCGGGCGGGCTGAGGCTGAGGCTGGCTGCCTGGCTGGCGGGGGGCCGACCCGGTGCGGCGCTGCGCTCGGTCCGCTCGCCACTTCTCGCTGCGAGCCAGGCTAGGCCTGCTGGGCCCTTGCTTGACCCGGCAGACCGCGGTGGCGAATGTCGGCCATCTTCGCTTCGCCGCCACCACCATCTTCTCCCGGCTCCTCACGCGCCCTCTCGTTCTTTCCCTACGCATAGGCTCAACCCTCGTCCTTTCTTCCACCACGCCGCCTGCTGTGTCGGTGCACGGTCAGGCGCATCCCCTCGGACTGCCGCCGTCTCGTTGCGGATACGCCGCCCACCACCACCACCTGGACATGTCGTTGAGGAGCGAAGCTCGCGATCTCGAAAAGGCCGTGCAGATGTCCAGGGTAGGTTCAGGCTCGAGCGGATGGGATGGCGGTCGTGACCGCGATCCATACTTCACAAGGCTGCCCAGCTTTAACCGGATCTCTCCTTCGGTCCCCGCCTCCAAGGCCGCGTTCCTCTCTGCCCCCGACGCAGCAGCAGCGGGCAAGGAAAACGTCGTTCCAGGCGCCGCTGCCTCCACCATCACCGCCAACCTCAAGGGTGGCCTGGTACCGGCGTCTGGCGCTCCACCATATCGTCGCGAGACGGAGAGGAACCTTCTTAGCGATCCTTTCGGCACGGGCACCTCGAGAACCAGCTCTGTCTCGCCATCGTTCCAGCCACCTCTGACTGGCCTCGACTCGATCAGCACGCCTCCTCTCGCGCTCTCGTCGCCACCCACCACCGTCTACGCGTCTTCGGCCTCGTTCAATGGCGCAGCGCCACAGCATCAAAGGACCGGCCTCCAGACGCCCTCTGCACCGCGCGCGGCCTCATCGCCCCTCAAGGACATGATCGCGACCAGCTCCAAGCCCAAACAGTACACCAGCTCCGCGGCCAAGAAGCGCAGCAGGGCGGCTCGCATCGAGGACAGCGATGAAGAGGACGGTGGCCCCGGGACGAGCTCGCGCGAGGTCTCGCCCGAGCTCCTCATTGCAAAGCCTCATGCCGCGTCCAGAAGCGCCGACGCTTCGCGATCCAAGCAGACGGAGGGTGAGTGACAACGCGGCCTCCAGCTTGCTTCTGGCCGACAGGGGACGGAGCTAACGACTCGAATCGAGTCATCGACCCCCCTCATCCCCAGTCTTTGTCGAGCTGCCTGAATCAACCACGAAGCGAACCAAGGCAGACACGTTCGACCTCACGTCCGACCCCCCGAGCTCGCCGGTGCGTCGCCAGAGCACGGCCTGTCGCAACAAGCAGCCCTCCTCGTCAGCCTCCACGACGGCCGGTCGAGACCGAAAGAGGAAGCAGCAGAGCACCGAGGCCGACGATGCCGCCTTTGCGGCCGCGCTAGCCTTGCAGGGAGAAGGGGTGGCGACACGTCGCGCCTCGCGCAACGCCAGCAAAGCCGTCAGCTACGCGCCCGTCTGCGACAAGGATGGAAGGCCGATCAAGACTGCGTCGTCTTCCTCGGCCCCTTCGTCGTCCAGGAAGGTCCAGCCCAAGGAGGCAGAGCCGGTCAGGCGGTCCGAGAAAACGTCCGAGGATGTACCAGCGGGATCCGCGAAGCGGAAGCGAGACCGAGCCTCCAGGATCCGCGACGATGACGAGACCGACGAAGAAGACTGGCAGAGCTCGCATAGCATCGACAGCCCGGCAGGGCAGCGAACGTTGAGCGGCCAAAGCTCGGCGCACACGAATGCCGCGACCACGGCGGTCGTCGCAGAGGCTTCCAAGCGGCTGCTGCATGCGACCTCCGCGACCGCAGCAGCTGAAGCGGCGTCAACGGTAGCGAAGGGAACGGCAGAGCGTGGACCTGAAGGGCCGCCGGCAGCCACGTCGTCTGTGACCGTCGTCGTACAGGAAGACGCCGAGCCTGGGGCGCGACGGAGCAAGCGACAGTCCGATAAGGCGCAGAAGGAGGCCGAGGCCAAGGCGGCGCGGAAGAAGGCCAGAGAGGAGCGGAAGAAGCGGGAGGCCGAAGAGCAGGCGAGGCTCGAGGCCGAGCCAAAGGAAGCGAGCGGCTCAAAGAAGGACAGTCGGAAGAAGACGAAGACGGCCGACTCCAAGGTGTTCGACCTTTCCACGTCGCCGGCACGAGGAGGCAAGGCGAAACCCAGGGGTCTCGATCGTGTCGACGTCGTCAAGGAGGCTCAAACGGTATCCGATGAAGATGAGGAGCCGTCGACCAGCGCGCAAGCAGATGAGCGGACGCAAGCGGAGGCGGAGCCGAGCCCCAGCGCAACAGCCGGCCGGGCATGCAAAGCGACCGCCGTCTCATCCACCGACCCTCGACAAGCTGGCGAAGAGGATGGACCTGCCCGTCGCTCGTCAGTCCGCGACGCATCTACCGCCGCGGTGGAAGAAAACCATGAAGATGACGAGACGCGAGACGAAGTTGCAGCCCGACCTGCGTCACCTGCTGCGACATCACCGAAGCCAGCTACGCCGGCCAAAGCGAAGGAGCCAGTCGCATCGGTCCCGGCAACGCTGCAGCGAGCGGTGAGTCATGTGTGTGCGCCATTTCATCTAACTGTGTACCGGATCCTGATCGTTTGTCCTCGGGCCCTGGCCTTCCACCATCAGTCAACGAGTGCCCCCCGACCTGAGGCGACCCCGGCGCAGACGCCCACGGTCGGGATAGCGCACCGCAGCAGCTCGACACCAACCTCTTCGAGACCGTCTACGCCTGGCTCGTCTTCGTTTATGGGCAAATGTGAGTTGCATCGCCTCGGCAATTCCCCACAGACCATCGCCAGCTGAATCCTCGTATCCCCTTCTGGTTTCTCGCGCTCCGCAGCGCTCTCGACGCTCCTGACGCCAGGCTCATCGCGTTACGGCGCCGTCCGTCGACCCGGTCTGGCACGGAAGATCAAGATCCCATCGCTGCTCAACAAGCGCGGTCCCCTGCCACCTCCGCGGCCCCCGGCGCCCCTCAAGAAGAAGAAGCGGGGCGACGAAGACGACTACGAGTACGACGAGGCCTACGAGCGTCTGATGGGGAGGATCAAGGACGAGGACGCCAGCGACAACGGCGATGCCGACGACGGTGGAGCCGAGGCCGAGGACGATGCCGGAGCGGGCCCCGACGAGGGTATCGACGAGGTCGTCGATGACTACTAGCCCCTGGCCTACGGGCCGATCCCGGATCCTTGGCGTTGTATCTTTTCCCGGCGCCCTGCCGGTCGCCTTTGCCCTGTTTGTCGTCATGGATCTGTTGCACAGTCTCTCCGGGCGATGATGGGCTGCGTCGCCGCTCTTGGGCAAACGCAGCGGCCAACGTTGAGGTGCCACTACTGTGCCACCACAGCATTGGCCAGGCACCCTTGTCGCCGCCCACGACGGGCCGAAGCATCCCCGTGGCCGGCCACATCTGCCAGCGATTCAATATTGGCCGATGTGGGCGCGTTGCGGGCCCGCCTCGGAATGCCTTCCGGACATGAGTGGGTCCGAGCCCGCCCCAGAGGGCTAGCTGTTCGTGCGGTCGGGCGAGGAGGATATATGGGGAGCCAGCCTCTCACCCTGCAGTCCAACCCCACCCAACCTTCTCGCCTCGACTCAACGACTATCCGCCTCCTCCTCGCCCGCAAGACACCCCTCTAGACCTCTGCGACCATGAAGACCCTCTCCCTCCTCGCTATCCTCCTGCCTCTTTTCGCGCGCAGCACAGTGGCCGTAAACCCGGCACCGGGCGAGTCGGAAAACATCTACGTCTCGGGCCCGCTCTCGCTCGACTACTACAACGGCCAGGCCCTCCTCTGCAACACGCAGCCCTGGAGGCTCGTCAAGAACGCGCCCGGGTTCCCGTCGGCCAACATCGAATGCGGCTCGGGCGGCAACTGCGACTGGACGCTCCAGTGTGGCCAGACCCCTGGAAAGGGATGCCTGTTTTCGAGCTCGCCCGTCAAGAACAAGACGACGGGCAGGTACTGCTACTCGCACCAAGTCAAAGGTACGACTTTTGGCGTGGACGGCGACCCTTCTGACCTCGGCGTGTCGGACATGATCCTCAGCAACAGCAACATCCATGGCAACAGCTATGGCGCTCTCGGTGAGTTGAGCGGGCCATGCGATCGGGGAGGAGCGAACGTCCAGCAACGAAGCGCACACGCTGACTCGACGACCTCGCCTCGCCGCTGATCTGTCTCTTCACCTCGGTCGCTCGAATGCACCAAAGTCAACGGGCAGTTCACCCAGTTTGCAAACTGGACCCCCAAGTACCACTAACTAGCCTTTCGCTGTGCAGTGTTGGGTCCAGCCCGACATTGAGTCGTCACGTCGTCGAGTGAGAGTCGTCAATGGGTCTGTACCTCGGCGGAGGCTGAGGCGTGTCGTCGTCGCGATCCGTGCTTTCCATCCTTTCACCACTTCTTCGCTCGCCCTTGGCCACCATCTCGTACCATGAACGTCTTTCCCCGCCCATCGAGCTCGATGCCGCGCCACTGGTGCTTGTCAAATCTGTTCCTCGCTCGCCAAGCGGCTGATGCCTCCCTTGAGCGCGCTCTCAGCGCCTTTGCCGGTCGATATCCTGCCTGCTAGCTCTCGGCGTTCGGCCCGATGCAGCAGAAGCTGCGCAGCGGCAGTGGCAGCCGGCAATTGGCAGGTGGCAACCTTCGCCCCACTCACGGCCAGGTGGGCTGAAGAATATCATGGAGGAGAGCCAAGCGGGTGGGCAGGCAGGGCGCGGATGTGCGCCCATCCAACAACTTCAATCTCAAGGATTCGTCAAGCTCCCGCCCTCATCGGTTGCAAAGGCCTCATTTGCGCGGACCTCGAAGGGTCATAAGGCCCGGTCGGCCTGGGCCCGGTCGGCCTGGGCCCGGTCGATGGTAGCCCCGCCTCGCCCCGCCTCGCCTCGCCCCGCCTCGCCTCGCCCCGCCTCGCCTCGCCCCGCCTCGCCTCGCCTCGCCTCGCGTCGCGAACAAGGCGATTGATCCGCCCTCTCGGCCCAGGTGGGTCGACTTGCCCCCGTCGCTCTGATACCTCTTCGGAGGTGGGTCATCAGCAGCGAGATGTCGGGCTACAAGGCGAACCACATCCCGGCTTGATTGGTCCGGGCTCGAGATGGCGCCCACCCTACTTGGCCGAACGAGAGGCCTGCGAGCAGCGACTACGTTGGACGGCTGCGTGGCGATAAAAGTGCGGGTGGGCCGCGCGAGACTTGAGCGCCCCTCCAAAACCCTTCACTCGATCGACCGAACCCCCAAGCTACAGTAGCCCTCACCCTCATCCCATACCAGCAAGCATCGCCCCAGCCGACCATGAAGGCCTCTTCGCTCCTCGCTGTTGTCGTCTCTCTTCTCGCATCTGGTGCCGCGGCCGTCAACTACTACTCGGACATGACCACCGGGAAGTTCACCATCTCCTACGACGGCAGCCATGTGCGCGTGTGCAACGACAAAGCCTTCACGTTTGCCGACGCGCACAGGAACCCGGCCAACGCGCAGTGCGATCACAACGGTCCGTGCCAATGGGTGTCGAACTGCGCCTCCAACTGCGTCTTCACTTCTCCGATCACCAACATCAACGGCAGGTACTGCTACTCGGCGCCCCTGGCCCCTGCCACGTTTGGCATCGGCGTCTCCAACGACCCCAGCCTGTCGGCCATTTTCGCGCTGAGCGGGATCAACCAGGGTTTCGGCGTCCTGGGTGAGAAGAGATGTGGCAGGCGCCGAGTTGAGGCCTGGTGACCTGGTGCAGACGTACTGACACTCACCATCCTGCCACTGCCTGTCGCCGTTTGGATCTGGATTGCTTTCTGACGCAGCCAATGGACAGTACGCTCAGTTCGGTGCCTTCCACCCCGAGTGAGCGCGTCGGTGGTCGCGGTGGATGGCGGGCAGCAAGAGGGACAATGGCTCGATTGATGGGACGGCGACCTGCTATCCCGCCGAGGCAAGCGGGTCGGCGGGCTCGCCATGCGGTCGGTTCTGAGCCGGTCGGGGGCTAGCCTGTGCTCTGCGGCCATGTGATGGAATGCGATCTCAACCTCTCACCCTTGCCCAGGGTCGTGTGGCGTGAGCGGTGTAATTGTGCCTGGTCGTCGAGGCTCGGCGTCTTGCTTGGCCATCTTTGGCTTGTGCTGGCGAACGAGCCATCCGACGCTGGCCGTGCTACTCGACCTGCATGGCAAATAGGAAAGCGACTTGGCGACGACGATTGGGCGCAGACAGGCGCGTGGCAGAGGTGGCTAGGTGGGTATCCGAGGCTGGGATCGACTCATGGACCTGGCCGTCGTGAGCTTGCCTTTGCCGGTCTGGTCTGGTCTGGTCTGGTCTGGTCTTGACCGCGCGCCAGTTTGCGTGTGGAGGCTGGGGCTGGGTCCAGGTCCGACTTCCGTGTTTGCCTGGCTGGCGCTCCCCCCCAGAGCCCTGGAAAAAAGTTCGAGGTGGTACCCTCTTCCTGGCTCCTCTCCTCTCCCCACACCTTCACCTCCCCTTTCTTGCCCGCTCCCCGCCGCGCCCTTGGGCACCACTCTCGATCCTCACCACACCATCCTACCCTCGATCCTTCACCACGTAGATCGCTCACTCCGCTGCCACTGAACCGACCATGGGAAAGAAAAAGGCCGGCTCCGGCAAGGCTGCCGCCAAGGCCGCCAAAAAGGAAAAGGCCGAGAAGCTCGCAAACAAGAAGGCCACAAAGCAGGCCAAAAAGGAGAATGCCCTCGTCGGAGGCGGCGGTGGCGGAAAGGGAGGCAACACCGGCGGCAAGAAAAAGGGTGGCGCCAAGCCCCAGGCCGACGACGACGAAGAGGACCTCGACCTGCTCCTCGCCAGGTACCGCGCAAAGTGGGAAGAGGAGCACGCCGTCAACGAGGAAAAGATCGGAGGCCCCCCCTCCCGCCGTGCCAACGCCACCCTCACCCCCTGTCCGCTCGGAAACGATCTCTACCTCTTTGGCGGCGAGTACTTTGACGGTGAGCGCGTCTCCTTCTACCAGGACATGTACCGCTATATCCCGGAGCGCAACGAGTGGCGCAGCTACGCCTCGCAGAACCAGCCCGGCCCGCGCTCCGCCCACCAGGTGGCCGCCACCCCATCGCAGGGCGGCATGCTCTGGCTCTTTGGCGGCGAGTTTTCGGGCGCCCGCCAGAACGCCTTCCACCACTACCGCGACCTGTGGGCCTTTAGCATCGAGACCAAGGCCTGGGAGCGCATCGACACAAAGGTGCGCCCCTCGGCCCGCAGCGGCCACCGCATGACGTTCTGGAAGCACTTCCTCGTCCTCTTTGGCGGCTTCATCGACACGGGCGTAAAGACCCAGTACCTCAACGACCTCTGGGTCTTTGACACGCAAAACACCTTCAAGTGGACCGAGATCAAGCAAAACGACCTCCGCCGCCCCACGCCCCGCAGCGGCTTCTCGCTCCTCTCGACGGCGGACGGCATCGTCCTCCACGGCGGCTACTGCAAAAAGTACGTCAAGGGACAGCGCACCCAGGGCGTCGCCCTCGAGGATACCTGGTTCCTCAAGATGGACGAGGACCTCAAGAACCTCGACTGGGTCAAGCGGCGCAAGGTCGGCTACGTCCCCTCGGCGCGCTCCGGCTGCACCATGGCGCTGTGGCAGGCCAAGAGCATGGGCGTGCTGTTTGGAGGCGTCACCGACACCGAGGCCGACGAGGAGTCGATGGAGAGCACCTTCCACAAGGACCTGTTTGGCTACCAGCTGCCCGGGACAGGGCGGTGGATCAGCCTCAATCTCAAGCGGCCAAAGAAGATGGGCGGCGGAAACCGGAGAAAGAAGCAGAAGCAACAGCAGGAGCAGAGGCAGAGGCAGGCGGAGGAGGAGGCACGGAGACGGCAGCAGGAGGAGGAAGACGAGGACGACGAGGATCAGGGTTCCGACGACGAGGATCGGGGCGAGGACGAATGCGCCAAATCCGACGGGGATGACGACAACGAGCGAGGTGGCGAGTCGGCGCGGACCAAGGGGTCCAATGGCGTCAAGACCGAGAACGCAGCGACGGAAACGGGGCAGCCCGCCGCCGCAACACCAGCCCCTGAGCCAGCGCCAGAAGAAGAAGACGACGACGACGACGACCCCGACGATCCGGAAAAGACGCGGCCCATGGAGCGATGTGAGTCGATGCATGCCGAGGGTGAGCGGGTCGTCCTGACCTGCATTGTTTCGCTAACTATCTATTCCTCTCCTGCATCCCTGTCGGTCGGTGCCACCTCGCAGACAACACGATGCTGGCAGTGCAGCGCAACGTCCTGTACCTGTACGGCGGCATCTTTGAGCAGGCCAACCGCGAGTTCACCCTCGATGACTTCTACACGCTCGACCTGGCCAAGCTCGAAAAGTTCAACTGCCTCAAGGAGTGCCCGATTGACAATGTGAGTCTGCGTGCTGCCTGCCTGCCTGCCGCGGCTGCCATCCTCCATCGGGCCCCAAGAGCAGATGCTGACCCTCCGCCTTTTTCCCCTCACAGCTCGAGTGGAATGAGTCGGAGGACGAGGACGATTCCGACGATGAGGATGATGACGACGACGACGAGTCGGATAGTGGCAGCAGCAGCGGCGAGGAGGGTGACGAGATCCCCGAAGGGTACGAGTACGGCGACTACGACGAGGAGGACGAAGAGGCCAAGCGTGCAAAGATGTCGCAGGCCGAAAAGGTGAGTGCCGGCCTTCGAGGCATCGCTTGCCTCATTCCTTTCCATTCCATCGCCATGCTGAGCCTTCCCTGCCCCCCCTTGGCACCCTTGTTGCGCCGTGCCCTCCCGTTCGATGGCAGGACGAGCTGCGGGCCAAGGCCAAGCTGTTTATGGGCGTGGCCCAGGACAGCCATCGATCCGAAGTCGAGCAGCTCTCGACACCCATGCCCGGCGAGAAGCTGCGCGCCTTTTACGAACGCACAAAGGCGCACTGGGCCAACGTCGCCTTCACCGAGAGCGAGGGCAAGCTGAGGGGCAAGGAGACGAGGAAAGCCGGTTTCGCCGTGAGTCGAGTCGCATCCCGCCCGGCCTTACCTCTTCCCCTCTGCTTGCGTTTTTCTGGCCGGTTCACTCGACTGACAAACTGGCATCCCATCCTTGCCATCGTTCCGAGGCGACTTCCAGCTGGCGGAACAAAAGTACTCGGAGTACAAGCCCATCTTGGAAGAGGTGCGTACCCGTCTCGCGGCAAGCGCCGAGGAAGGTGGACGCAAACGGCAACAGCTGACCTCATCCGCTTTGACTTCACCCCACCCCCTTTTTGCGACTGGCACAGATCGAGCGCATCCAAGCCGAGGCAGGGCTCGACGAGGCCGAAAAGAGCGTCAACAAGTCCGGTGGTATCGGCGCAGGCGCCGTCGGTGTCGACTCGAGGAATAGAAGATGAGAGCGGGGCCGACGGTGCCGGTCCCTGCTCTTTCCCACTCGCTGTCAGCGAGGAAGCACGCTCAAACTCGGTCTGCAGTCTGCCCGCGTGCCCGCCTGCATCGCGATCGATCAATCGGCGAACGAGGCGTTCGAATGGCTCGGGCCTCGGACTGAAGGTAGGTTGGAGCAACCAGACACGATTGCACTGTTCGCTGACTGCCTCCCTTGCCCCTCACCCTAGGCTCGATTGCGGGCAGCTACGGGATGAAGGGGAGGTGAGTCCCGACGTCCTTTTTATACTGGACATACTCGTCCTTGAAAAACTCGATGAGGTGCTTTTCCTCGACTGCGCGCGGCCGGTCGGACGGTTCCAAGAGGCAGTCAGCAAATGGCATCCTCGGACCCGGGACTGGACGACGCGGGTGCGGGGGACCAGGCAGACGGGACGCACCTCTGATGCGGTGGGCAAAGAAGCGCCACAGCACGATGGAAAAGGCGAGACAGCCCAGCGGGTTGCCCAACAAGATCTGGGTGCCGAGCGCCCAGTAGAAGAAGCCAAAGTACGAAGGGTGGCGGGTGAAGCGTGGGGGGGGGGGGGGGCAAAGCGCCAAGCGGGGAGGGGACCGATGGGTGGTTGAGCTTGACGCTGCCGACGGGGAAGAGAGGCGGGGACAATCATCCTCGAAGCGGCGGTGCGAGCGACTCACGCGTACACGCCCGTCTTTACGAGCTGGTGGTCGTCCCTCTTTCGGAAGGCGACAATGTGGCTAAAGTTGTTGTGGGCGTGGATCATGGCGAGGCTGCGGATCGACTGGCCGACGACGACGAGGATCAGGCCGACTAGCGTCGAGAGGCCCGGGCGCTTCCAGCCCGACGCCGGGCCGGCCAGGGTGGCGGTGATGCCAAACTCGACGAGGCCGGCGACGTGGGCGACGTGGTAGGCCAGTCCGTTGTTGAGGAGGAACGAGTCGGAAAAGAGGCGCGTCGGGTTGTACGCTGCCGTGATGACAAACTCGAGGAGGTGGAAGGTGCACCACGCCAAGAGGTAGAGGTGGAGCTGGGGCAGCGTGTACCAGCTCCCGAAGGTCGTCGCTTGGGCGGCGTTGGCGCTGTCGTTGCTCGAGACGAGGCTGGTGGCTCGGTCGACGAGGAAGCCGAGCGCCCGGGGGAGCACCAGGCCGGCGACGAGGCCGAGCGGGAAGGCGGTGATGCAGATCTGGAGCGCGGCGGGTGCGAGGTGCGCTGGGACGACGTACTGGTCCGTGTACTTTGAGAAGAGGGAGCGCGACGGGGTGACCGTCGGGGTGTGGGCCGGGGTGTGGGAGGCGGGGGTCGTGGTGGTGGATCGCGCCGGCATCGGCGAGGATATCGAGGGCTGTGCGTCCATATCAGCTGTAGCTGCGACGGCGACGGCGCTGGTGGTGGTGGAAGTGGACGACATGATGTGAGTGGCGCCAGAGTATCGGGGTCGTTTGGTGCTCGTCGGCGGGCCGACCTGGGCGACAGGCAGCCTAGCTAGTGTTATATGCCTCGTGCCTGCTACTCACCCGGAGAGGCGGCGGCAGAAGCCGAAGAGCGTTGCCCCTTTGTATGAGTACTTGGACGCGCGAGAACCCGCTTGGGGACAAAGGGAAGTGCGGCGACGGGACGGGAGGGAAAGAGAAGAAGATCAAGGAGGAGGGGGAGGAGGAGGAGGTAGGGGATGTCCCTTTGTCGCTGTGAGTGCCGGCATGGGAAAGAAGCAACGAAAGAGGGCGGCCAGGCGGGCGGGCAGACAGCCAACCTTGCTTGCTTGCTTCTTCTTGGCCAAGGGTCCACGGCGACCTCTGCTTGACCCTTCCGACTTCCGACGTGGATCCCGGCTTGCAACTTGGCTTCCACCACCACCCTCTATCTCGAGCTGCCACAACCACCACCGCCCTATTTTCGACGAGCTACGACGCTCCTTACACAGCCATCCCTCGCATCGAAAAAGGCACATCTCGACCAGCCACACGCAGACACAAACGCAACCGGTCCAACCCTCTCCCTGCCACGATTCCGTCCGTTCAGCGCCCGCGCGTCGCGCCCCGTCCCGTCCCGCCCCGCCCCGCCCTTCTTGTTTTTGCCAGCCGATGCATCCCTCTCTGTCCAACATGGACCTCGTCACGCAGCTCGACAACGACATCGACCTCCTGCTCAAGATTATGTCGTCGTCAATCGCCTACGTCTCGCGAAAGGCAAAGCACCAGCAGCTGCCCGACTCGCTCGTGCCCCTCACCATCACCGGCCGCACCGAGGCCGTGGAGCCGCACGAGATGAGCGAGTCGATCGACGAGCTCGTGGCCGACCTCGTGCTCAAGGCAAAGGAGATCCAGGAAATCATCCTCCACCTCCCCGACGACAAGCTCGGCGAGGACGAGACGCTGGTCAGTCCAGGATCGATGCCGGGCCGTGCGGTGGCGACGTGTAGCAGCTCACGCTCCGATATCCCTTCCTCACATCGCTGCTGCTCGTCCGCCCTTTTTAGCAAAGAGACCTGGCCCAGCTCGAGAGCGAGATGCGGGTGGCAAACCAAGACTACCGCCAGGCGCTCAAGGAGGCGGGTGAGTTGTCGATCCTCTCCGGTGTCGGCGCCGGCGCCGCTCTGTGCTCTTGAACTCATCCTTGTCTGTTCGACGTTGCCTGCCGTCTGCCCCGCGGCACACCTGCAGAGACGTTGAGGGACCAGGTCAAGACGCTCACGCGCCAGCTATGCGACGGCCAGGCCGAGCTGAGAGCCTGGCTGGTCAAGGACGACTGAGCGCTGGGCCGCACCGTCAGCGGAAGCGCGACACCTCTGTCTCGTTTGCTCGTATACCCATCATCTGTACCATTAGCCACTCTTCGGCCGACCGTGGCTCCTTGTTGTACTTCTATTCTCCCTTTTCGAGCCAGGCCAGGCCAGGCCAGGCCGGGCTTGGCTTTACGGCGAGCCGGCAGCCTCGATAGCAGCCGTGGCAAGTTTTTGGCTTGAACGGGTGGCCAAAGCTCCTCCACTTGACTAGGCCTGGCCGGGCGGGCGGGCAAGCAGCGGTGAGCTGGCCACGCCACGCTAGCACTTCACCCACTCCGACCACCATCACCACCCTCACCCTCACCCTCACCCTCACCCGATCGCTCGCCCGCCCGCCTCTCTGACCGTCGTCGACCGCACGGCACCCCATCCGACGCCATGGACACGGCACAGGCGCCCCTACGCATTTTCACAACGGCCCTCGCACAGGTCGACATACACCAACCAACTTCCGCCCACCAGGCCGCCGCTCATGCCGTCGGGCAGATAGCTGCCGCCCACATCGGCGACGCCTGCTCTTCGGAGCCCCTCCTCCTCACTCCCCTCCTCGAGCTGCTCGACACCTCCATCGACGACGATGCGGGGAATAGCGCCCGACTGCTCGCCGCCGCCATCGCCACCCACGTCCACACAGCAACAGATACCATCTCACCCCCGTCTGGCGACCAATTAAGCGCCCTCATCTTAGCCGTGCTCTACTCGCGCGGGCCAGCACTGACAGACAGAGTCGGCCTAGCCTCTTCTCCCTCCACCCTGCGCTTCCTCGCCGATGCTGCGCACACTCTCTCCCAAGGCCCTACTAGCAGCGCCTCGGGGGACCTCCATGGCCTCCGACAGGCGCTCTTGCGGGACAGAGACGTCCCCATCGGCGCTCGACAGATCTATTCGTTCACGCTCGCTGCACAGCATCCATCCGACTCCGCCACCGGTATCCCAGACCGCCACCTGGCATGGCTCGAGGAGCTGCAGCAGACCTTCTTGATCGGCTCGGCGTCGTCCTCGGCCCAGCAAGATCCACGGCTCAGTGCTTTGGACATGGACTGGCTCCTCTGCTCTGCCGGTCCAGACGGCTGCAGAGCGGCACAGCGCTCGATGCTCGACCATCTGATCGCATCATTTGCCCTCTCGGTGGCCTCGGCGGCTTCAGGGCGCGGAGGTCGCCGCGACGTGGCAGAGATGCGCACGCGTGCCAAATGGAGCGAGCTCGCACACAAGGTACCGGCCTTGGTCGCTGCCAAAGGTCCCTTTGCGGCATTGCCCATCGAAGAGGCCGTCGAAGTCGTGCTGGCCGGCTCCATCAAGGTCGAAGGTGAGTGCTCGGTACCCTAGACGGTCAACCTCTTCCAGCTACCAGGTCCTCACCTGCTGCCTTTGTGTCGCTGTCGCTCTCGCGTCTCCCCGAGCAGACCTCGATCTCTTTCGATCTCTGCTGATGGACTCGACGGCGACACAGGGCCTCTCGGACGCGAGGATCGAGCACCTTGTCCTCTCAATATCCACCTCGCTCTTCGACCGGGCCACGGTCGCCTCGACACGAACCGGCGACATGAAGCTGGCCAACGAGGTGCTCGACACGGTGCCGGCCTCGACGAGCGTCAAGCTGCAGCGCAACTTTATCGAGGCGAGCTGCCGCCTCTGCTCGTTCCGCATCCGCTCCAAGGACGACCCGAGCCAGACGATGGGCGCAAACGAGGTGCGGGCGGAAGAGGACCGGATGACGCTCATCTCGCGCCTCTTGGCGCACAAGGAGGATGCGTATAAGTCGCCCGAGCTGGTCCTCGAGCTGGCGTCAAAGCTCTGCGCCATCGGACCCGACTTTCTCGCAAGGCTCTCGATCGAGGCGAAGGGACCGGACCACAACGACGACGACACGGACGCCGCCGCCGCCGCCGCCGCTGCTGCTGCTGCTACTCAGCCGGGTCTTACTGCCTCGCAGAAGACCATGGTCGAGATCCGCACTCTGGCGATGCTGGCGGACGCCGCCACCTCGGCGAGCGACTTTGAGGAAGCGGCGGCTTTCTGCGTCCGCTTGGTCGAGAAGATTGGCGTCCTGCGCAAGCGGGCGCAGGCGCAAGAGCGCAACGTCGACGCCTCGGCGGGCGCTCACGGTACAGTCGGCTCGACGGCAAGGAGCGGCACGGCGGCCTCGATCCTCCCGGAGGCCCTCGACCTGGGCTGGAAGACGTGCTACCAGCTGAGCAAGCATCCCGGCTGGGACGACACGCCGCAGCGGCTCACGCTCGTCTCGCACGTCCTCACGCTCTGCCCGTCGTCGCAGCTCGCGCCCATGCTCAAGGCGTGGAAGCGCGTCGACGACCAACTCTCTCGCGAACTCGAGCAGGGCAAGACGTTTGCCTCGACCAAAAAGGCCGGGTGGCTCAGCGGCGCCGGCCTGCCAGTCGGGGCGGGCGCAAACATGACGATGGACGCGTCCAACGCCGCGGCGGCCGCGGCCTCTGTCGGCGCCGGGTTGGTCGGGATGGGCGCCAACGCCGCGGCCAACCTGCTACCTCTGAGCTTTTCACCGCTCAGCTACTTTGGTGCCGGCAGTGCAGGCGGCAGCGCACCACCCGCCTCGACCGCTACCGCTACCGCTACCACCGGCGCCCTGCCGGCGGGGAGAAAAGACGAAGCTGGCATCGGAAGTCGAGCTGCACAGCTCTTCGACTTCGACTCCGCCGCTGCCCCTACAGCAGCAGGAGCGGGGGGAGGGGCAGGGGGAGGTGGGGGATACCTCTCGCTCGGGAGCGGAGGCGGACACGAAGCGGCCGAACGAGCCGCCCGGGCCGCGCGGGCGGCGGCACGCAACTTCCTCGGCGGCTGGTCCATCTCCTCGTCTCCCCGCCTCGGTGGCAGCGGCTCTTCGACGCCGTTGCCCGCCACCAGCGCAGCAGAGACTCAGGAACAGGCACAGGGCACAGCTCAGCAAAGCCAGGGGCACGGTGCTCGGACATCGGCGAGCGGCGGCGGCGGCGGCGGCGGCGGCGGCGGGTTCTCGCTGACCCGCGGTGTCGGGTGGTTGATTGGCGAAGACGGCAACACGAGGTGACGAGCTGGCCCAGCCCAGTCCAGCCCAGCCCAGCCCAACCCGAGCGCGCGGTCTGGCTGCCAGGCGGGCGAGCTGGCTGGCTGGCGCCTGCTTGGAAAGGCGAAGGTAGAAATACAACAGGGCAGGGACCTCTCCTGCTCCGCGCGCGCCGGCAATACGCGCGGTGGGGCAGGAGAGGCGGTATCAGAAGGGGAAACGAAAGGGGGAGCCAGGAAAAAAGAGAGGGGACCAAGAGGTGTCGACGCGCCAAGGGCAGCACGGCACGCGCTCGACCTCAGAGCGACGTCGACGAGATGCTCTGGAGGAACGTGATGATCGAGTTGTCGTCGTCGGCCACCCACTGGGTCGGGTACGACGGCGGATTGAGGGAATCCGAGACAAAGTTGATGGCCGAGCCGTGCGTCATCCACGCCGCGCCCGCGCCGCCCACACCGTTGCCGGGCCCCGACGACGCGGCGGCGGCGGCGGCGTCGTTGAAGAGGCTGAACGAGTCGGAGCCGGGACCGCCGCCGTTGCCGTTGCCATTGCCGTTGAAGCTGTGGCCGTGCTGCGGCGCAAAGTGATGCTCTCCCGGGTAGCCATTGCTGCTGCCCGGCGGGCGGAACGAGGCCGAGGGCGAGGGCGCCAAGCCGTGCCCGTGCCCATGCCCGTGCCCGTTGCCATTGCCATTGTGCAGCGGGTAGGCGTGCTGGTGGTGGTGATGAGGGTAGTGCGTGGTCCCGTCGAGGCTGTGCTGGTAGGGACTGGCGGAAGCGCCTCCGCCGGTACCGTCCGAGCCTGCATGTTGCGAGCCGAAGTGGTGGTTGCTGTCCATCCTGCGTCGCTTGGTGCTGCCGTGCTGCAACGGGCTGCCGGCGTCGCCGTTGCCGCCGTAGTACACCGCATCGCCGCCGCCGCCGCCGCCGTTGCCCATGTTGTGGTACGGCGTCGAGTGCGGTCGCTTGCTGCTGCGGCCCGGTGGCCCGCCATAGAGGCAGCCGGGTGGCAGGCCGGCCGAGAGGCCCATGGCCCACCGCGCATCCTCGGACATGATGAGCTCGTCCATGCCGACGGGCGAGTTTTCGTGGATGGAGAGGGTGCTCGGCAGCTTGGTGCAGCAGAAGCGCAGGAAGCGGGCGAGGTAGGAGCCCTGCTCGAGGTGGAAGTCGAGGGCGGGCGCCGTCGCGTCGGCGGCCATGCGGATCGCCGTGGCTGCCTGCACCGCGAGCGCATTGGGCATGGCGCGCCAGTTGTCGCAGATCCAGACGGCCGCCACGGCCAGGTTGAGGATGACGATGTCGTGCACGAAGCGGTAGTAGCTCTCCTGGCCATAGGGGCCCTTGAACAGCTCAAACAGCTCGACGCTGAGCTCAGAGCACCGCTGGAAGGCCGCCTGCCGGTCCTTGGAGAAGCTGGGCCCGGAGAGGAAGGGCGACGAGTAGATCGAGTACAGCGCGCGATGGTAGTTGAAGAGCGTGTTGGTCGTATGGAACAGGAGGCAGGGCCGCCCCGAGTGCTGACAGTGGATCTCGCTGTCCGGCGGGTTCATCCAGATCTGCGACGCGGACGTCTCGGCCGTGATGGTCATCTTGATCAGCCGGGCATTGCGGAGGCAGGTGGCTCGCGAAGGCTGCGACGGATTGCTGCTCTTGGCGTTGGACGACTTGAGCGCGCTGATCAGGTCGCGCTTGATCTGCGCATTCTCCCGCGACGCCGCCAGCCGCACGTCGATGTCCTGCACCATGTCGCCCAGCGAGTCGATCCATTCCCGTGGGTCAGGCAGAAGCGAAGGGTCGATGGCCGGCGGGAGATGCCTCTGATCGCGGTATCCGTCCTCGAAGCAGGCGAGCTGCAGAAAGGTCCGCTGCGACTGGATGAATGCGCGCGACGGCGGATGCTTGGATCGCGTCTGTGGGCTAAAGAGCTCGTGCAGGCCCAGCTCAAACGACTGCGTGATGGCGTAGCGCACCTTGCGCCAGCTGCTGCCGTCCTTTGGATGCTTCCACATGGCCAGGATCGAGAGCGTCTGGATGGTCTCGAGCTGAGGCGGCACATCCTCGGCCGCGATGCGCGCCAGGGCCGGCTTGAGAAAGTCGAGGCACTCGACATACCGGTCGGCCTTGACGAACTTGGCGGCGACGGTGCAGATGCCGGCAAGCAGCAGCCGGTAGTCTGGGTTGCTCTTGAGCGCTTTCAGCGTGTAGATGTGGGTATCGAGCAGCGCAATGATGGGGTTGAGCTTCTCGTAGTAGAACTCGACGAGCTCCTTGACCTCTGCTTCGTCAAAGAGGCCCACGGCCATGACGCTCTCGATCAGGGGTCGACTGGCGGCGTGCGCCGACACCTTGACGCTGGGCATCTGCTGGAGATGCGAATGCACGGTCGACGAGAGGAGCGCCTTGGACGCTGTCGTCTCGGATGACGTCGTGTCGAGGAGCGACTGGACGGAGAAGGGGTTATTGCTGTTGCTCGGTGGCGACTCTGTCCGCGGCGGCGTCGGCTCCCGCGTGGGCTCAACATGGTAGACGGGGCTCTTGCTGCTCGTGTTGCTGGCGCCGCTTGTGGGTTGTTGGGAGGCCGACGAAGCAGACTGCTGCAGACCTTCGATCTTGACGCCGCGGTGGTGGGTCGGAATCGTGCATTCGAGATTCAGCCGCGCACAGCGAGTGCAGATGGAGGCTTCCGGAGGGATGATGCACCTCGACTGTGTCGGTGGTGGAAGAGCGAGCGGCAGCAAGCGGCGAGGACGAGGATCGGACGGGCGAGATCCATTCAGCATCGAGGTCTTCGCTGCCGTGTCCTCACGCGGCGTTCTTGCTCGGCGGCAGCGGACTCACCTTGATCTTGCGGCAGCCTGTGCATGCCCTCTTTTCGGCAAAGGGGGTGTTGGGCTCCTTTGAGATGACATCGCATTTAGCTGGAGGCATGCTTGGAGGCGCGTGCGGTGCACCGAGGGATGGACGAAGCTCGTTCGTCCTCTGGCAGACGACGTGTCAGACGACGAGGCTATGAGGTGGCAGGGTGGCGGCGCGAGCGAGGCGAGTGCTTGACTCTCTAGTCTGCGGACGTTAATGGAGACGAGGAGAGCCGTCGCTCCCATGCGCTCGTCTTCGGCGCCTTTTGCAGAGTGCCGAGTGGCGTGGGCGGTGGTATCGATCGGCCGATCGGTGACGAATGATGGAAGGGCGAGGAGGGGTTGAGCCGACAAGGATGGGCGAGATGAAACGAGACGGGGCGGGAAGAGGTAGAGCCAGGGGGTGTCGGCGACGGTGCCAAGATCGTCGAGGCCTGCGTGGATGGTGCGGGTAAAAAGGCGGCAAGTGGATGTGTATGTAGACGGGGCGGCGATCAGGGAGAGAGTGGGGTGGCGTGGCGGGTGCGGGGAGCGTTGGAGGTCGGGTGGCGCCAGACGAGCGAGCGAGCCACTTGACCGACCGGCAAAAAGGGTCGAGGAGCGGAGGCCAAGCCGGTGGAGCACCAGCTCAGACGCTGCGCCGCTGCCGTTGCCGCCGCTGCTGTGCTCTCAGCCACTGCCGCCCTTCGCCCTTGACCCCACCCACTCACCGCGACCCCGGCCACCTCTCGAGCGGTTCTGTTTCGAGCGACCGACCTGCTTTTTGGTCCGAAGAGACGAAGAGGCCTCGCTTCGGGCCGCCTGCCATATGCATGTTGGCAGCCAGGCCAGGCCAGGCCGCAAAGCGCTACGCACGGCAGGTTGCCCAGGCCGGCCTGGCCTCTCTCTGGTCTCGCTTGCGCCGAAAAGGCTCTTCTGACACTCTCGGGGCGGCGCCCAGCCTAACCAGGCTAGGCCAAGCCTGCCTAACCTCGCCCTGGGCTCGGTGGTCTACCTGTCTGCTGCTGGCTGCTCGCAGACAGACCTGTGGCGAGCCCCGCCCCGCCCCGCCAGGCGCTGGTCGCGCATGACGGCAGTAGGTCTGACATCCGAACCCGCCTGATCCAGGCCTTCATGCTGCCACCTACGACAGGCTGGCTGCCGATTCGGGTGGTTTCCCGTTCTCGGCTGCTTGTTGCGCACGACAGGATGAGCCTCTTTCCTTCATTCCCGGACGGACTGCTCCGGTCTGCCTCCCCTCTGTTGGCTTCTTCTCGACCGCGACGGCCCTCGGGAGCGATCTGCAGGTGCGAGGCGTAGAGCACCGAGAGCGGGCCGACATCCGTTCCTCTCTGGTGCCGTCCAGGCGGGATGCTTGATCGCCGCTCGCCCCCGGAGCTGTATACGGCAGGCGGGCAGGACAGGAAGGGCTTCCGAAGCAGCCGGCCTGCCGCGTCCCTGCGTCGTCGGGAGCATCCGAAAGGCTCGACCGACTCCCAGCCTCGGCGATCCCGATACTCGTGCCTCCCCTTGCTTGCTTAGCTTGCATGCTTGCGCTCTCATGCGTCATCCGCGACGAGGCTCCAAACCCCGGGGCTGAATATGCCAGCAGAGCTTGTTTTCGCCGAGCCTCCGCGTCACTTCATCGTCCAGCAGAGAGATCAACCTCGGTCATGTCCGGCAAGATGGCGGCAGCACCTTCCGAGCCCCCTGTCGAGCAGCGGAGCACTTGAGTAGGAGCAACGATGATGACGGTTCGTGTGCAAGGCAAAGCGAGTGGACATCTATCAGCGAGGCATGCACTAGTCTGTCTATCGACGGTCAGGATCGCTGGCGAGGGCCGCGGACGGTGCCATAGGGCGTTGGGTCGGCCGATTCGGGGCTGGTCTGGAAGTGTCGTTCAAAGTTGGCCGTCGAGCCTCCCCACACGCCAAAGTTATGCTGCGTCAGGCGGCCCAGCTCCTCGAGCTGCTCGATAACGTCCTGCAGGTCAGTGGCAAGGGGGCGCGGTGGCGGCGGCGTGGAGCGAGCAGAGTTGGCCGCAGTTCGGGGCGTCAGCATGCACGGGTCGCCGAAATAGCCAAAGACCGACGAGCCCAGCGGCGACGACGTGTGACTCACCCCCATGGCGAGCGCATACGAGTAGAAGAGGAGGTAGGCGCTCGATCCTCGCACCGCGCGCCGCTTGACGACCGGCAACTCCCGGATCTTTTCCAGCAACCGCAGCCGGCACCCCGAGGCGGGCGGAAAGTAGGGAGGCACGGGGATCTTGAGGTGGAAGGCCGAGCCCAACGTGTAGAAGAAGAGGAGCACATTGCCTACCATCTCGCGCCGCTCCGGGTTGACGGGTATCACAAAGTCGCGGCGCACCTGCTGGTACCAGTCGTCGCGCGATGTCACGCACCGCATGCTGTGCAGCTTGTCCAGGATGTTCTGGCAGCAGCCCAGCATCGCCTTGTACGTCGCCACGGGGAACGGGCCCTTGAGGCGAGGCTCGTGCTTGGTCTGCGCCAGGAGGCCCTCGAGCTTGATGATGGTGACTTGTAGATGCAGCTCAATCGTCTGGAACTCGTCGATGATGGGCGTCTGCCGCGATCGCAGCAGGGGCTGCCTCTCGACGTCGTCGGCGTACGCGCTGTTCTCGTCCTCGTCGTCATGAGCCTCGTCCACGCTGACGACGTTGGCCGCCTTGTACTGGTCCTCCGAGTACGTGACAACGAGGCGCTGGTAGAGCCAGGCCAGCTTGAAGATGAGGTCCGATACGCCGCGGGCCAGCTCCCGTCGGGCCTCGAACGGCCACACCAGCTGGTTGAGCACCGTGGCCCACAGCACCCCGACCAGCACCGATACGGTCCGCTGGAAGGCGATCTGCTCGACCTCGATGCCCACCTTGCGCAGGTTGTAGCTGTACAGCGCCGTCAGGTTGTACGTCAGCAGCACGAAGCGGCCGCTCGACGCCAGCTGCGGCCGGCCGACAATGTAGTTGAAGCATGGCAGCGAGAAGAAGAGGCCGAAGATGGGCAGAGCCACGTTGTCGTCCGGGAAGAGGCTGTAGATGCCGACGGCGGCAGCGGCGCCAAGAATGGTGCCAAGGAAGCGATGCAAGCTCATCTGATTCGACTGGCCCAGCGTCGGGCTCAGCACCACCATGAAGCTGACCAGCGCCCACTGCATCTGGAACTTTTTGAACGTTGGCCGCGTCGACTCGAAGAACGCCGGGCTCGCCAGGATCGCGCTGCCGGCGCCCGCCTTGATGGCAAACTTGGTGTCTGCCTCGCGGAGAAATTCGCCAATCGACCACACGAGGCGCTGGAAGCGCTGCTTGAAGGTCAATGCTACGGGCGTCTGAGCCGTATTGACAGTGTTGCGACGGTTCGAGGGGAAATCGAGCACATCCTCGGTTTTGCGGCGTACAGGACCGCGCCTCGCTGCGGCTGCCGACAGGCCGCGAGTCTTCTTCCGTCCCAGCAGGCTCCTCCAGCACGGGAGCATGGTGGCGAGGTAGAGCTTAATGGGCGACCAGATCGACGTGGCCCGCGCAGTGGCCAGCCGCTCCTCGCCCTGCCGTAGCATCTCGAGCGCCTCGACCAGCACCTCGAGCTCCTTGGCAAACTCTTCCAGATTGAAGACGAAGAAAAAGATCAGGAAGATCTCCTCGTCCGGATGCGCTCTCGAGAGCAGGCTGGCGGGTAACCGGTCGCCCGCGCCGTGCGGCGAGGTTTGCTTCGATGCGTGCTCGGCGGCCTCGCGCTCCGCCTCGGCCTTTTTGGGCTCCATCGTGTAGATGCGCTTGATGGCCACCGTCTGCTCGTGCTGGAACCTCTTCAACGCCGATGAGACGTCGCGCGCCAGGATGTCGAAGGAATCACCCGTCCTGAAGCGCGAGCCCAGGAGGGGCTCGGTGTCGCGGCCATCCTGCATCGACGCAGCTGCGGCAGCCTCGGGCTTCGCCATGTCGCCAAGAGACCGGCCGCGCTGAGCAACAAACGTGGTGCGCAGGTTCCTGAGCGTCCTGCTGCACGTGAAGACGAGGCTGCGCATGTGCGGGCCGACGCTGTCGATGAAGTCCTCAAAGGCCCGAGCGCGCTGTCCGGCATCGGCGCTCTGCTCGGCATCTCGAGAGCTGGCGCCAGCGCCGCGCTCGCCCTCCTTGAGGTTCGCGAGGGCCTCGGCGACGTCGGCCGACTGACCACGGGTGGCTGTGCCGGAGAAGGAAGCCGCGGCCTCGGCTTCCGGGTGCTCCTGCGCCTCCCTGGCCTTGCGCGCCTGGACCCGCGCCATCATGATCTGGTGCTGCAGGCCGCACGAGCTCCTGAGGCCGGCGAGATGCTGAGCCAGGCGGTTCATCGAGCTGGTGGCGTCCTTGTAGTACGAAGTCTTGCCGCGCAGGCGGAGGTCGAAGAAGCGCTCGAGCATCGCCTCGCCGAGGTCCTTTTTGAGCGAGGTGAAGCTCTCGTGGTGATCGTCGATGGCCTTTTTGATCTTGTCGCTCTTGAAGTGGAAGTTCGAGGGATCGTCTAGCAGGAACGTCTTTGTCAGGACACGGAGCAGCGTCGCGAAGCCCTGGAGGTTCTTGTCGATGTCGTTCTGCAAGTTGGTAGTGGCGCTCTGGGGCCAGAAGAGGAAGCAGACCAGGTTGCTGACGAGCGAACCGGCGATGACGACGAGCGTGACTTGGATCGTCTTGTCAAAGGAAAAGTGGCCGAGGTGCTTTGAGCCCTCCTTGACCACGACGGTAAAGACGATGATGCTGACCAGCGAGCAGGCCGTATTGAACTGGGGCTTGGCCACCTTGACCTTGGCGTAGCCGACCAGGGCCATGCCGATGCCGAGGAAGACGAGGACGCTAAGGATGTCGGAGACGAAGAGCATGTCGGCGTCGTGGAGGAAGACGGCGACGGCCATCGAAGAGAAACCTAGCGCGACGGAAAAGACAAAGGCGATGAGCGCGAAAAAGTCGGCCTCGACCATGGCGCCGAGCGTCTTGGCCGGGTGGAAGTAGACGGCGACCGTGGCGATCATGTGCAGGTTGGAGAACGGGACGCGCGCATCGGGGTCGTGGTTGGGCAGCAGCTTGGCCATGTTGGACGACAGCAAGGGCGAGAAGGTGAAGAGGGAGGCGATGAGGTAGGCGATGCCGCACTTGGCGATGCCCCTCTGCAGCGGGGAGAGCTGCATCCTGCGCCTCAGGCCGGCCGAGTAGCGTCCCAGGCGGCCGCGAAGCGTGTGCGCGCGGTCGACCGTGTCTCCCGCAGCAGGACCGCCGTGCTCGGCGATAACTGCCAGAGAGCCGGAGCCGGGTCGGACGCCGATGTTCGCCTCGGACTCGGTGTCGCTGACGGTGCTCTCGGTGTCGCTGTCGAGCAGCGTTTCTTGCGTGGTATAGAGCAGCGGATCCTCGCCTTCTGGAGCGTCGTCAGGGTCGTTGTGGAGCCAGCTGTCAGGCTCCTCGCTGAGCGACGTCATATTTGACAGGCGGGAGCGGTCTTCGACGCCGCCGCCGTGCTGCCTCGACGGCGGCGGGGAGACCATACGATTCCAGGCCATGATCGTCTTGCGCCTCTCTGGGCCGGGCGATACGCCGGACGCGCCGCGCCCATCGTCCGAGGCCCTTGCGATGCTGTTGCGCCCACGCTGGGGCGAGATGGACGCCTGGCTCTGTGGGCGGTCGTCGGAGGTCATGGTACCGCCCTGATTCCGCCGTGAGGGCGTCGGTGTGTGCTGGCTGGTCCGGCGCGCTTCCGGCGAGTCCTGCCTGTTGGACGACGACGCCCTCTTGCGCCTACTCCGCGCCTCTCGGGCCACGGGTTCGGGGCCATCCTGATCGAATAGGTGGGCCAGCGACTGCCAGTGACCGGCATGCTGGCCAGGTCGGCTGGATCCCGAGTTGTGGCTGCCGATGGTGTCGGTCGAGAGCCCCTCTGCGTCGATCCTGACTTCGGAATGCATCCGGCTCGCCCGGCCGGTGCCGCTGGCTTGCCTCAGGGCGGCCGAGACCTGAACCCTATCCCGGACGGCTTGCCAGAGGCTGGGGCCCAGTGTACCGTCGACGGGCAGCGACTGCGTGCTGATGGGGTGGTCGGGTTCGAGCGCATCTTCAAACTGCCATCGTCTGGATACGGTGCCGTCGTTTCTCGTAGCATCTTGCCGCTGGTGAAAGGCCGACATTGGGGGCCGAAGGAGCGAGGTCCGAGTCTGAAACGCGTGTCTTGGTCTGGAATCGGCGATATGTGGGTCGTGATTCTATCCTAAGTGGAACGTGCCGGCATCACGATGGGCCGGCAAGCTTTGGGCGGCGGGACAACGGCCTGGGGTGTCGTCGGGGAGCACAGTAGTAGTGGTGGTGCGCCTAGGCCAGAGGAAAAGCGGTGGCAAGGTTGGTGGGAAGATGGAAGAGGGCAGCAAGGTGATGGAGGTGAGCAATGAAGTGGGGCGGCAGAGGCCCGTTGATGGCCGCCCAGCTCTAGCCTCGTGTGTATGGAAGCTAGTTGGGGTGGGGTGGGTGAGGGCGAGGTGGACAGGGGGGATGCCGTCAACCAACACCGCCGTACTCGGAGATCCAAAAAGGGGTCCAAGCTGCCTCTGCGTTGGCCAAGGCAGGCAGGTGAGCGAACGAGCCAAACGGCCTCAGCCTCGGCGTCAGAAGCGAAGAGAGAGAGGCGGTCGCCTGCAGGAAATCCTCCGAAAAGTCGAGCGGGCCAGCCAAGCCAGCGGGTGGAGGGAAGGCGTCTGCTGGCGCTGCGCTTTACTTCGCCGCCATCTGGGCCCATGCGAGCACCCTCGCATCCTCGCTCACTCCGTCAACGACGCAACGCTCCTCAACCCCCGAGGCCCTCGATCGACCTCGCCCCTCCGCCAAAGTTGCACCGCTGCGATAGCAAGCAAACGTGGGCACCTCTACGACATGGCAACCGACTAACGATGGGCCTCTTCACTGGCTCTCCGTCGCGTCCGGCGGCTGCCCGCGCGCCAAAGAAGTCGGGAGCATCGCGCAGAAGCTCGCTCGCCAAGGCCAGCTTCGTCGCATCGCCCTCGTCAATCGAGCGACTGGCAAAGGCTCGTATCGGCACCAAGAAGGCGGCGCCGAAGCCGCAGGCCGAAGCGGCGGACTCTGAGGAAGAGGTCGACCGCCTACTCGTCCCGGCCGCTCCACTGGCGCCAGGGCCACCTCAAAGCCCTTCCTTTGCGAACCGTCTGCACGACGACGAAGGCGATGGATGGCCCGAGTACAGCCCCATCTTCTCTCCTTGCTTGTCGAAAGCGGCCGCCATCGGAATGCGTCCCGCTCACAAGTCGATGGGCGCCATCCTGCAGGCCTGCCTGAAGCGTCGCAGGGACAGCAAGTTGCCCTTGCCCGCTCCCTTTGGCGTCGTCCGCAGATGCGTGCTCGAACAGAGCTTCTCTTCGGCCTTTTCCATGCCCAAGCGGGCGGCGCGCTTTGTCTCGATCCATTCGATCCGGCGCAAGGAGCTCGAGCGAGACTATTGTCCGCCGCCGCAGCCGCACGAGACCTGCCCGAGGGGGCATCGCTGCCTCGGCCGCTGCGTCCTGGGATTCGCTTGTCCCAAGCTGGAGAGGCGAGCGTCATAAGCAGGCTCTCTCACGCCGCCACACCATTCCTTCACCTTCCCGATCCGATGTCGACGCCTTCACGCGTCGCGGAAAGCGCATCACCTCACCTCTAGCTTCCTTTCCCCGGCCAAGCGCATCTTGGCAGTCGATGACCAGAGAGAATGACAAGCTCAAAGCATGCCTTGGACCGTTCCCTAAGAAAATAGCCTCCGACCTCGTGTACAAAGGAGCACAGGGCGGCGGACCTTGTCAAACGCCACTGAATGCACCGCGGAAGCCTTCAGCGATTCGATCCCGCCGTCGGGAACAGGCAGATGTTGAGATGGAGGCCTTCAGAAGCCCAGCCGCAGCACCCGTCACCGGCTGGCTTCAAGAGGATGCGCCCTTGTCGTTCCAAGGCAGAGGCGGAGTGCCCACCTGGTGCTTCGGGAGCGGCCAGTACTTCTCCCCCTGCCCCGTAACTTTGCCTTTCAAGTCCTTGAAGATCACTGGAACTGGAGTAGTAGGAAGTGCATAGAGCCAAGGTTGCAGCCAGAACGAGGAGACGGAGAGAGCGTCAGAGTCAGAGGGAGAGGGAGACGGGGAGAGCGAGGATGGATACCATGTCGACGGCTTGACCTGGCTGCGCTTCCGTGCGGCGCGACCTGGAGCAGCGCTAGCCGTATGCCACACCCCGAGCGGCGCACTCACTCATAAGGCCAGCGCTGCCGTCTCCGCTGGCGTCCGTGGCGGTCAACGAGGCAATCAGGCTCTGCGGGATCTGGTTGTAGTCGAACGACGAGATCTTCGCAAAGCGACACATCATCCAGCGCCAGTGCCTGACGACATGGTAGACCTGGGCGCTCAAGACGCATGTATCCTTCCACATGCCCGTGTTGCAGAGGTCGGAAGGCACCACGTAGCAATCAATCCCGGGCCTGCAGGAAATGTTGAGAGGTCTCTGCCCCTGGCTACTGAGAGTGGAAGGTCGGGTGCTGCAGAGCTCCGCCTGGCTGGTGGTATGGTTGTACTGAACGAAGAACCACTCGTGCTTGTAAGGCACCTCCCAGGAAACGGCGTCCAGCGGGGCCTGCTGTGCGCGGGCCAGCAAGGCGACTTGCAGGACGGCAAGGATGAGCAGCAAGTACTTCATGGTCGTGATGGCGGCGGTGGTGCTAATAATGGGGGCGATAGCGGGCGCCATGGACCGAGGAGGGTGAGCATTTATACGAGAAGGGGTCGGACCGCGAAGTGGTAACGGCGCCGTGCAATGTTCCAGGAGGGCCGGTCGAGCGTCCGGACCCCACTCCTCGGCATGTGGGTCGCGCCAACAAGGGGTAGAGCTTGGCCCTCCTCGTCGTTGTCGAGAGCCCCCACAAGATATCGGCCAGCTCGACGCGGCTGTTGCTACGCCCGGCTGTATGTGGGTGTGTCTTTATCATCTCTTTCTCGACTGCCCACAGTCGGCGAACGCGCATGCGCCAAACGGCGGTCTGCGTGGTCGCAACACGCATAACGACGGCCCGCCCGGTCATGTTGGCTCCTCTGATGCGGGCCTGCTCGTCATGGTGGGTTACCCGCGATGATCATCACATGGCGTCTGTCGTTGCGCGGGCAAGTGCACGGCGTCGGGAGTTGGGGCCGAGACCGGGGCCGATGTGGGTCGGCCAAGAGACAAGTTAAGCTAAGGCCCGCCCAGTCGCCTCGACAAGGATTCCCAAGTCGAGGGAAACGACTGCCGTCCACGCAGATGTGTATTGAGGCGATTGATGTCATCACGGTTCTTCGTTGTGGTGCGGCAGACGGTCAAGGCCTCGAGGTATACTACTGTATACATACGATAACGTAATGTACGCTTGCAGAGTGAAGTTACAAGAGCGCTACCGGGGCGCCAAAGATGACGATGTAAATGAAGGCAACCGGGAGAAGCATTCTTGATAAAGCCGAGTGGGGCGAGGCAGGTGACGCTGCGTTATTGGTGTCACCGCTGCTGCTGCCGCTCGGGGCTGGTCCAGATGCGGATCTGCTTGTGGCGCCGGCGCCGCCGCTACTGCTTGCGCTGCCGCCCGTGCTGGACGCTTCTGCCGAGGCCCCACCCCCTCCGCTCGACGATGGACCCGGCTGCCCCACAAGGGCGGTGGCGTTGTTCGACTTGACCGTCGACGACTGCAGCACCCAGCCTACGCCGCCGGCGATGTGGCCGCGGAAGAAGTCCTGCTGCCAGGTCGCGCGGTCATGGCCGAGCGACGTGTACCACGACCTCCCCGGCCCACCAGAGGGATCGACGTTGGCGCCGCCTCCGCCGCGCACGCTCGCGTCGGTGCTCCCATCGGTGTCGAGCAGCCTTCCCTCGCGGTACCACGCCAGCGGATGGGGCGCCGGTCCGTTGGTGCCGTTGCGGAAGCCCTGCGGATTGACGCCTGGGTCCTGGTAGTTTGACGCGTTGGTGATCAGCACGTTGGCTGGCGAGGGTAGCTTTCTAGGGTCTGAGCGGAAATTGTACACCTCCTCCTGGATATCAAAGTTTCCGGGCAGCTTGGACGTCGAGGGATGGTCGGTGGCGACTGGCTTGAGTGACACGCTCTGGATCTGCGGGTGATAGTCGAAGTAGGCGCCGACGAGCCGGCCGTAGAAGGGAGCGCCGAACAGGGTGGCCGACGCCGAGTGGATGCCGACGTAGCCGCCGCCGTTCTGGATGTACGTGGCAAAGTTGCGGATGCCCTCGTCGTCGAGCACAGTGCCAGCGCCCGGCGGATCGATGTCGGTCGTCATGATGAAGGCGATGGCGTCAAACTGGGCCAGGTAGGTGGCGTTCCGGAAGGCGGCCTGGTCGCTGGTGGCGGTGGCCTGCCATCGAAGGTCGGCGATTGAAGCATCGAGGCTGCCGGACGGCACACGCAAGGTGCCATTGCCGATGCCGGTGATGGTGTCGACGGCCGTGGGGATCGACTCGTGGCGGTAGCCGGCCGTCCTGGTGTACAGCAGGATGTGGGGAACGGCGTGGGCCTGCTGGGCCAGGAGCGCGCTCCCGATGGCTGCGAGAGCGGACCAGCGCATGGTTCTCCGAGGTCGAAGGCAGAGGTAGAGGGGGACAGAAGGCAGCTTAGACGGCAGCAGCACAAGGAGCAGCTTGAATGTGTTCTATAGGGTTATGGAAGCCGGCCCTCGAAGCGCGCGGATGTGGTTGTTGTTGGCTGGGCTCCGAGTCGGGTCGGGCCGCACCGCTGCTCCTTGGCTGGCCCGGCCCTGGCTCCACACCCCGATGCTTGGCATCCGCTAGGCCGGCGGTCAAGAATATCATCGGGTCCGACAGCTGGCTACGCAGTCGCCCGACGTCGTGGGCTCGCCCCAGCAGATCGAGACCTTCGTCGTGTGCAACGCACGAGCTCGTTCGAGGCATCGCAGAGGGCAGAGGACCGAGACGAAAGAAGAAACGACCGGAGCCCGCATACCGCTACACGCGCACACAGCGACAAGCAACAGGCAGGCCAGGCAGGCACCACCAGAGACCCCGGCGGCAGAGAGGCGGCGAGGTGCAGCACCGCAATCCAGGCGGTTGAGCGGGAACAGGCCCGAGACCGGGTGAAGGGGGGGCGTGGCCGTGGCCGGCACTGCCGCCGACGGGCAGGCAGGCTCTGCTGCAAGCGGCTGCAGCTGCCCACCTCTGCTGGCCTGCAGCGAGCGCTGCGAAGTTATGCCGTGCGTGGACGCCCGTATGTACTCGACTACTGATGATCTGATTACTGCATTGCGGGCCAGGCCTCGAAAGTAGACCCGGGACCCAAATTTCCGACAGCCAGGCGGGCACGCCAGGCCAGGCCAGGCCAACTTGGCCGCCCGCGCGAGGGCGTGGAGTTTTTTTTTCTTTCTAGCCAGGACTTTTTTTTCCTTTGGCGGACGGGCAGCCGGCCAGCCCTCGACCCTGATTCTCAAGCTTGCTGCTTGCTGGTGGTCCAACACCGCCAACGACCATCACCTTCATCATCACCGTCACCGACATCGCCAACTGCCGCCATCGCCTGCTCCTTTCCACGTCTCACCACTGACCGCTGTAGAGACCGGAGAAGCCGCTGTTCGGTACGCTGCCACCACAGGCGACTTGGCTCTTCTCGCAAAATCTCGGCCCCTCCGACTCGGCATTCTCACCTCACACGCATCGGATCCAGGCCGACCAGGCGACACCGTCGCCCATTCCATCTGCGGCGCTGCCTGGCTCACCAGCCTGCGCTGTTGCGGCACACTGGCGTGACTCGCGCATCGCAGCGTAGTCCGCCGTTGCCGCCACTTCCATCAGCGCCATTGCCACCATGAGCCTGCGAGACACCTCCTACCCGGGCTCTTCCGGCCTGGGACTCGACGACCACCCGCAGCACCACAGCTATGCCTTCGGGGGCAGCCTGGCGGGTGGGGGTGCCTCTGCCTCGCCGGCCGCCGCCGGCGCGCTCAACCACGCTGCTGGACACTCGCAAGCCCACCCTTTCCCCCACCTCTACGATCACGCCTCCCACCACTCTGCCGCCTCGTCTTCCCACGGCTCCTCGCCCGCCGCCATGACGATTCCCTACGGCATTGCCCACGCCGGTACCGCGAGCCCGCAGCTCTCGACCTCGACCCACACCTCCAGCTTGCCGCTCGGCGCCTTCTACATCCAGCACTCCAGCGGCGCTCACCCCAATGCCGCCGCCACTCCACCATCGCACCATCCCTTCCACGCATCGCAGCAGCACCACAACCACCACCACCTCGACCCGTACAGCAGCGCCGGCAGTACTCCGCACCACCGCTTCTCGCCTGCGGCCGACCACCACTCGTCCTCGGGAGGCTCGGTGGCCCCTCTGTCGCAGGGCGGCAGGATCAGCTGGGCCAACTCGCCCGCCGACTCCTACCATGCCCTCGCCTCCAACGACGGGGGCCACAGCCAGAGTGCCGCAGGCCATCCTGACTACAGCGCCGTCGTCCCGAGCGCGCGGCTGCCCTGGGAAACGGCGCTGGCATCCACCAGCGGCACCCCGCACTCCGGCTATGGCCTGGTCGACTCGCCGTCCTCGGCCGCCGCATATGACAACGTCGCGTCGGCGCTCACCGGACCCAGGCTCGAAGACGACTCGGGTTCCGGTGGTAACGTCCGGCCACGGCAGAGGAAGAGAGCAAGAGCCTCGGCCGGCGAAGGCGGGTCGCACTCCCCTGCGTCGGGTGCAAGGGGACGGCCGAAGAGCAAGAAGACCAACCTTGCCCACGTCGAGAACAGCGACTCGCTGGCAGGGTTTGGCTCCGAGGCGGGCGCGTCGGTTGGCGGATACGATGAGCCTGACATCACTGCGTGGATCCATGCTGGCGACGGCGACGATCTGGTTTCGATGGGCTCGCACGCCGCCAACGGAGCGGTAGGCTCGGCTGCCAATGACCACCACCGGCTCTGGTCCAGCTTTTCACCGTCGCTTTCGACGACCGATACCCCGGGCAGCCATCACCACGCGCATCACGCAGCGGGATTCAGTGCTTCGATGCCTGGCTCGCGGCACCACTCGGCGTCGGCCTCGGCGTCGGCCGTCGCATCGCCAGAAGAGTTTGGCGGCTACCACGCCCACGCCAGCACCTCGGGCCACGGCGCAGCGCCGTCCAACCTCGGCCTCAGCGTGCAGTCAGGGCACGATGTCGATGCCGACGACGACGAGGCCTCTGCCCCCTCGGCCATCGATGCTGGTTCTGCCGTCGTGACCGAGGCCACCGGCGGCGCCGAAGCTGGCGCGGGCGGGGTCGAAGCGGAGGCGGGGCCGACCGAGGACGAGCCGCTCTACGTCAACGCCAAGCAGTACCAGCGCATCCTCAAGCGGCGGGCGGCGCGGGCGCGCATCGAAGAGGCGCGCAAGAAGGTATGGCTGGCGCAGCTGCAGAGCCGCGAGCGGCAGCCGTCGGGCAGCGTGGATGGTGAGGGCTTCCTCGACGAAGAGGGGCGCAAGCCCTACCTGCACGAGAGCCGACATCGCCATGCGGTACGCCGTCCTCGAGGTCCCGGCGGTCGCTTCTTGCAGCGCAGCCCGGCTGCTGCGAGCTAGTCGTGTGCGGACGGTCAGTGCCCGCCCCCATCTTCACCCTCGATCCTCCTCAACCATCCCGTCATCTCCTGGTCCCTCCTCCTTTCGACTTCATCCTCGTGTTGTATTCCTACCTCCTCGCCACTTCCCCAACCCCCCCACTGGATCGCCCGGGTATCACCTGCGATGCCTGCTCCGTCTCTGTACCACCTCCCCCGCCTTTCGCCCCATGGGCGCATGTAAGAGTACCGTCTCGTGGAAGAGCTCCTGCCCCCACTTGCCAATCCCACAGTGGCGACCGCAGCATCAAGCCAGGTGCCGTCGATATGCCACGTGATGCTGATGCAGGATCGATGCGATGGGAAGCCGAGACGGCGAGGGCGTAGGCCGTGATGCCGCCACCGCCGACGATGACGACGACGATGACAAGAAGGTGATGTGATGCTGCTGCTGCTGCTGATGGTGATGATGCCGATGTCGATGACGATGCCGAGATACAAGTACAGGGGGACAGCGAGATCCCGTCGAGAGTGCAGAGAAAGACAGACGAGAGAGAGGGAGTAGGGTGCAGGACCGGCGGGCGGCGGGCGCGAGCCTACTCCTTGACGTCGAGGACGGCCGCCTTTCTGGCCGCCTTTGGCTTCTTGTCGCCCATCTTGGAGTGGCCGCGGCGGTGCTCGTCCTTGACGCGTCGGGCGTCGAGCATGGTACGCTTGAGCTTCTGGGCGTGCTTGATGGCCTTGGGCGTGTGCCGCTGCCGCTCGATCTTGGCCACGTCTCCCACGCCCTTCCACTTCTGGCGCAGGCTCTCGGCGTACTCGCGGCTCGCCAGCTCGCGCGTGCTGAGGATGCCCAGCTTCTCGCTCGCCCGCGCCTTCCAGATCCTCACGTTGCCGTCGTCGGAGCCCGTCAGCACGAAGCGGGCGTCCATGCTGAACGACGTCGAAAAGATGCGCTGCATCCGCTTGGTGTGGTACACGTCGCGCGAGTGGTTGCCCCGCCCAACGTCCCAGATGCGCAGCGTGCGGTCGTAGGAGCCCGACACGAGCTCCTGGCCCGTCGGCGAAAAGTCGACCGACATGACGGCCGCCACGTGGTCCTTGTAGATCTGCGTCGCCTGGCGCAGGTTGCGCATGTCGAAGGTGTAGATGTTGTGGTCCTCGCTCGCCACGGCAAAGACGGTGGGCTCGATGGGCGACCAGGCGAGGTCGTTTGCGCGCATCCCCATCGTCATCCTGGTGAGCGGCTTACCGCTGCGCAGGTCGTAGAGGACCACGCTGCGGTCCGTGCCGGCGCTCGCCAGCACCTCCTTTTCGCTCTGGTTGAAGCGCACCACGTTGATGGCGTCGGGTCCCCACGTCATGGAGCGCAGCGGGTCCGACGAGCCACCGCGCTCGAGGTCCCACGTCTGGATTGACGACGAGGCCGAGGCAAAAATGGGCGACGTGGCGTGGTGCGAGAGCGAGTTGAACGCCGTCTGGCCGTGGTAGACGGTCAGTGGCTCGCTCGCCGGCACATCCTTGTCTCTCGTGCTGAGCAGACCGCCCCTGCGCGCGCTGCCGGACGCCGTCATGTCGAGGTCGTCGTCATTGTCGTCGTCGTCGTCGGCCCCGCCAAGCTCGCCGCTGAGCCCGATCCCGTCTGGCCGCGGGTCAGCATCCCACAGCTTCACGGTGCGGTCCGTCGAGCATGAGAGCATCCGCCGACCCAGCGCCGAGGCGTTTGTGGGCGAGGCGAACGTGAGGGGCGAGATGCAGAGCGACTGGATGATGCCAGAGTGCGCCTTTGGGTAGACGTAGATGGGCTTTTGCCGCGCCAGATCCCACAGTCGGATCTCTGCGGAGTGCGACAAGTCAGTCGCGGAAAATACGAGCAGCGGCAGTCAGCATAGAGCCCTTGCATGAGCGGCTTCGACATCCCGCCGGCTCCTCGCAGCACTCACCTCCATCGCCGCTCCCGCTCGCTAGCACGTTGAGCCTGTTGTAGTCCTTTGCCAGCGCATAGATCCCGTCGATATGGCCGTCGAGCGACGCGACAAACGGCTTGGCGAAGAGGCGGTCGAGCTTGGCAGCGTTGAGGGCGCGGGTGTACTCTCTTGGCTTGTCGAAGGGGTGGAGGGCCGGGTCGAGGTTCCTCGATGTGGGTGCCGGGTCTCCCTCCCTCGCCGGTGCGTGTGCGTCGAGCGACCTCGAGAGCGCCTTGATCTTCATCGTGTAGGGTGCGTTGACGGTGCCGTCCGGCGTATAGGCAGGGATCCGGCGATGTCGATGGTGCGGGTGATGGTGATGGTGGTGGCGGTGGCGGTGGCAGCTGGTGCAGGCAACCTGGAGTCTTGGGACCCGCTGCCTGGCCGCGGTGGAAACTCTCAAATTTCGCCCTGCAAGCTTGCTTGGCCGCTCTCCCGGCCTGCCAGGCCGCCAACTTTTTTCTTCGCCCGTAGGTTGCACGCTTATGTAAGCAAGCCTCCCCATGCCTTCTCGACCCCTTTGCTCCACAGCTTGGCCTGCTCTGGCACCTCGACTGCCGCACACCACCATCACCGCCACCGCCACCGCCATCACGATCACCGCAACTGTGACCCTTGGACGTCGCACGCACCACGATGAAGGTGCTCAAGCCTCGGGCGGCGCTGCTTTCCGACTTCGAGGTGCTCATGGCCCTCAAGGACATGGAGGCCGACCAGATCCAGCGCTCCCAGCTCGTAAAGGCCCAAAAGGCCACCACCGAGGTCCAAGAGAGCATCTACCAGGACCAGGAAGAGTGGCTCGAGCAGGTGCCTGAGAACCTCCGGACCATACAGTACGAGGTGAGTCGCCAGCGTGCTCATCGCTCTTGTCCTTCGCGAGGCCCATTCGTGGCAGTGGGTCCGTCGCTGACGCGAGGCGCACCTCATTCGTCCTCACCGCCTTCTTCCCCTTCCCCCCGCGCCATCCTCCCCCAGACGATCGCGTTCCTCTCGGATGTGGCGAGGCCCTGCGCCCACCAGAGCGAAGAGGCCATCACCGGCCTCCTCGATGCGCTCAAGTCCAAGGGCTACTCGATCTCCGACTCCGAGGCGCGGCGGGGCGGCCTCGGCCTCAACAAGTCCGAGCGCCTCCAGATAGTCAACCACTCTCCCAGCAGCGTCGTCGAGCTCCACACGCTCGTCGAGGAGCTCTCGGAGCGCTTCTACGACTGGCAGATCGACGACATCGTCCAGCTCGTCCAGAGCTACATCCCCGCATCCTCTTCGGCCGGAGTCAACGCATACGCCGAGGGCAACGAGGACGCAGAGGCCATGGCCGTCAACGGCCTCGGTCAGGAGACGGCCGCCGAAGACGAGGCTATGGCCGCCAACGGCTACGATCACCAGCCGACCGCAGCCACGCAGCTCGGAGAGGGAGGCGACGGCGGCCTGGCCGTGGTGCCGGGCCACGACGAGGAGCTCGAGGGGCAGGACGACGACTACGAGATCGACCCGGCCGTCGAGATGGACGACGACGAGTTTGTCAACGAAGGCTACGGCGCCGTCGGCGTCGAGGATGCTGAGCCAGAAGACTAGGCACGGCCTCACCTCGCTTGTCACTCGGCACCTTCGCCGCAGCTTGCCCGCGTCGGCCATTCATGGCGCCGTCCTTCCCCTCGCCCGTCTGCCCCTGCTCTCTTCATCATCGCATCCACACCACCTGTTGTATTCTAGCACGTTCCGGCCTTTCCCGCGTCACGGCGCCCGCACATTGCATCGGCATCATCTCTTCCATTCACGCAGTCGTCGCCGCTGTCTGTCCGCGTTGCGAAGCCGACCTTTTGGATGGTCCGGGAGCCTCATCGTAGGGGAAGCAAGTTGTGCAAAGAGGAGCAGAGGGGTGGCTCCACAGTTTACTCCTCGTCCATCTCGACAGCCTGTAGTGCGGCGGGAGGAAGGAGGACAGGATCAGATGGTGGGTCACGCCGCGCTCTCGATCGCAAGCTCTGGGGTTCGACCCAGGCCTAACCTACCTTGAACTCGGGGTCCTCGTCCTCGGCGTCGGCGGAAGCCTCGGCGTCCTTTGTGAGACCGGCCTTGGCCATGGCCTCCTCTGAGCTGTAGTCGATGGTGGCAGCGGCGCGGCGGCGGCCGCTGTAAACAATGTTGCTCATGTCGAGGGCGGAGAGGTCCTCCTCGGCGTCCATGCTCTCGTCGACCTGGGCGCAGCAGAGCGGGGCGGGGCAGGCGGCGCGGGATGAGCATTAGCTGTCGGTGATGGAAGGGGGACCAGAGGGTGGACAAGACTCACGTCGTCATCGTCCTCATCGTCGTCATCCTCATCATCATCGTCATCGTCGTCATCCTCATCGTCGTCGTCCTCGGCTGTAGATGAGGGGCAGAGGTGGGGAGCAGCGAAGCGGGCAGGAAGGGAGGAACAGTATCAGGAGTGTCAGTTTCGATGCGTCGGGCACGGCCACGCGCAGACCGTCACTCACCGGGTGCGACGGCCTTGCCCTTTCCCTTGTTGGACGAGGGGACGGCCTCCTCGACGTGCTCCGCGGGCGTCGTGCTGGTGGCCGTGGCCGTGGCCGAAGCGGTGCTGGAGCTGTTGTGCTCGGTGGCGGGTGCGGAGCTAGAGTGGCGGGCGAGAAACGGTACGGAACGGCAGCGGTGAGCGACGACGGTTGCATCGTGTCTGTGAGCGAGGCGAGGGCGATAGTACCCACCTTGCCTGCTGTTCGGACATGGTGTGTATGCGTGCGTAAGACTGTGACGAGAGGCGTAGAGTGGAGTCTGGAGGTGGTTCTGAGGTGAGGAAGAGCCGGGCCGCCGTTGTGCGGGGTGTTGGTCTCGCGTTGGGCCGTCTGTGCGTGCTGCTTGGTCTGGCCTGCCCTGCCTGGCCTGCCTCGCTCGTTGATTTTTTTTCTCGCCGAGGCCAGAGCCAGGGCCAGGACCAGGACCAGGGCCACAGGGCCACCGAGCCACCCAGCCACCACCGCCGCCCCTCTTTACTCCACACGCACGAGGAAGCGGCCGTCGACGCGGGCTGTCGTCCCCACCGCCACCACGCTACCACTCATACGCTTGCTTGCACTCGGTCTAGCTCGCTCGCACAGCGTACCGGCATGACTCTGGACCCTCGTCGCTACTTCCGCCACCACAGAGGCGTGTCACGACCAATACCGCAAGCGGCACCCTAGCGCGAATGAGCCCGCAGCCCGCGCCCTACCCCGCCGACAACGCCAAGGCCTCGTCCTCTCGCCACACCCTGCCAGTCCAGCCGCGCGGCAGCAGACGTACGCACGCACATCGCACCCATGCGCAGCCCCCGTCGACCCTCGCTGCATCGGACTATACCCGGCTATACGACTGGGCAGGCGGTCCAAAGGCGGCCGTAAAGTGCTTTGCCCGCGATGTCAGGCGAATGCCGCTCTTGGAAGGCGTCGGCATGGCTCTCGGAGGTGAGCGGCGGCGTCCTTTCTCCTCTGCCTCTGCCGTGAAGCTCGCCTGCTTGGCCACTGACGGGATCTGGTGGCCTGCCTTCGCCCACACCAGGACTTCCGCTGTTCCGCCACGTCAGCACGCCCTGCCTGCAGGCCGACATCTGCGGCATCGTCGTCGGCGTCACCGTAAAGGACCGCAAGGTCATCTATGAAGGTTGGCTCCTCATTCCCTCTAGAGGTACTTGAAGGCGCGGCGGAGCGCTGACACGCTCGCAGACTGCCCCGTAACCCCCTCGCACGTGCTACCCAGTCGACGATGGAACAGCGGTGCTCAGAGTGCACGTCTCGGCCAGAGGCGATGAGGCAGACAGCAAGCCAAGACTGGCGGGGCGCCAAACGCTAAAGGTCGAGCAGAAACCCACGGGGATCCCCAGCTGCTACGTCAGACCTCCCTCTCCCAAGCGGAGGCGGGCACAAGCTGGCTCAAACATCGCACAGCAATCCACCACCTATTCCACCGCGGCCTGGTCCTTCGAATGCACGCCGAAGCACGACGTCGGCGAGCTGGTGCAGGCCTCGGGCAGGATCCGCATCGACTACGAGGGAGACCGCATCCTGTCTCCCGGCAAGCTGGGTGGGTCCAGACTGGCTCGTGGTCGCGAATAAACCGCCATCTTGACTCGACTGTCGCTGACCTCTGCCCCATCCTGTCCCTGCTCAGCCCCTCTGTATGACCCGAATGACGAAAGCCGGCACTTCATAGAGGCTGTACGCCTCGCTGAGCACGAGTACAGCCTGCCCCTCACTCCGCAACGCGTTCAGCAGCTGGCCCACACCGTGCAGAACGCGCTGGAGGTCGACGCAGGCGATACTCCCTGGGACCTCAACACACACGACGCTGCAGATGTCGATCAAGACGGCGTCGGCGGCCACGCCGAAGACAGGCAGAGCAGGGCCAGGATGCGTCTCTTGAGCCCGAGCGGCGACGGCGTCGCCTCTCACCGTCGCCTGATCTCACCGCCAAACTCGCAGCACATGGCGCCCAAGGCTAGCAAGCAGACTCTCGACGTCCTCCCCTACGACGACGGGCCGACGTCCGATGGCGTGTTCGTCGAGCGAGCAAGGAAGCTCGAGGCGGCTCGACGACTGCTCTCCAGTCAGTCCGACGTCGACGCTCCAGAGCTTGCTCGACCGTCCATCGCTCAGCGCCCGAGTACGCGGGAACGCAGCAGTCGGTCGACGATCCGCACCGGATCTTCGTCCAAGTCGATCGCACGCGTCCTCGCCTTCCTCGAGTCGTCGGACGTCGAGAGCATAGAACCGCCGCCCCGCGATAGCGTCCGCAGCAGCCGAGATCGCCAACATCGACGGCGCGACGCGAGCGTGTCGTACGACACGAGTCGGAGCCGTCAGTCGTCGGTGGCCAGCTTTGCGTCATCGCCCGGTGTGAGTCTGGTCTGGCTGCTGCCCGCCATGGCCAGAGAGCTGCTTGCTCACCTCTGCCCTCGTGCCCATCATCCGCTCTCCTCCTGTCCGGTACGCAGTCGACGTCGCGCAGGCTGAGAAAGCACCAGAAGCTGCCGGACGCCAAGGTGACGGACTCGTATTTCCGCCTGCAGGTGCAAAAGCATCTGGCCGATCGCTGCGACCGAGATGCAGACGGCACGTCAAGGCTCGGCGCGTTTTCGGTCTCGGACCTGGTGGCACAAAGGGACCTTCGAGAGCTGGCGGAACGCTTGGTGCGGATCAAGCTCGCTCGGCGGGCGCAAGAAGCGACAGCGACAGCGACAGCGACAGCGACGGCGACGGCGGGTTCTGCCGCGCATGTGTCGGGCTCGACAGCCTTGCTGAGCTCCGAGTCAGTCTCGGACAAGGTCAAGCGGCTCTTCCAATGGACGGTGCGGCAGATGATGACGGATGGCTTCATCATCCTCGCCACCGAACCATCAGTGCCGCCGGATACCCGCTCGACGGCGAGGGCGAAGGCGGGGGCATGGCAGGGCGAAGTCATTGACCTCACCGAGCTGCCCGCGAGCAGCGGCGAGAGCCTGTCGCTGGTGGCTGCGCGGCCCAGCGAGGAGATGTACCAGCTAGTATCGTCGGGCGTGCTCGCGGGCCCGCTCGTGGCGGTGCTGCGGGGCGGCAGCAGCAGCGGTGGGGCGAGCTGCTACGATACCGAGGCGGTGCTGCGTCGCCTGTCGCGGCGGGACGATCGGTTCTCGAGCCTCACGCAGGACCCCGTCGAGTCGGCGCTGTTTGAGCTGCAGGAGCGCGGCGTCGTCTCGCGGTCTCCCTCTGGCCTCTGGACGGCCGGGTCCGGCGTATAAAGATCGGAGGTCGCCGGTGGTCCCGTCCTCGATCCGTCGATGATAGAGCTTCGACGCCGGATGGCGTTGGCGGCGAGGATGTGGGGATACGGGGGGAGGTGGTGGGGCGGTGCGTCTCGGGGTAAGGGTTCAACGGGGCCAGGCAGCAGCGATACGGAGTAATGCCACGACGAGGCTCCGTCACGTACTAGCCAGCGAAGCGAAAGAGTGGGGTTGGATTTCAGATGTTGACCTGATTGTACTGCGGCGACGACGACAACGACGGCGGCGACAGAGGCGGCGGCGGTGGCGGGGAGAGCGGGCATCTTGCGGCGAAATAGATAAAGAGGCACCTACAGTACTTCGCTTCTCGTCCCCCGTGCCTTGATTTGGCTCGCGGCCGATTGCGGCCATGCGGAAGGCGGTGAAAGAGCGGGTGTGACGTGCGTGCGCGATTTGCCAGCGAGAGCATAGAGGAGGCAGAGAAGCGCGCGATGGGTGCTGCGCGTACACGGATCGAGGGCATGGTGGCGTGGCGTGGCGTGGCGTGTGGCTGCACCAGGCTGAGCAGCATGCCACAATGGGGCCGACGTCTTTACCCCGCAAAATCCACGCAAAAAGCGCGCGATGCGACGCAGCCCGGCCGCGGGTCGCCGCCGAACAGACAGCCAGAAAGACTAGGATGGGCGGCGAAAAGCAGCGACAGACGAGCAGGAGGGAGAGCGGGGCAGACGAAGAGCGGAGCGGGAGCCGGCAAGCCTCTGCCGAAGCCGAGTGGCTGGCTCTGGGGCTGCGCAGGCTAGGCTTGGGCTAAAGGCCGCCCCACTTTGCCATCCTCCTCCAGGCCTCTTTCCCTTTCCTTCCCCTGCCCGACCACGACCACGACTACGGACCACGACCACGACCACAGCAACGGCAGCGGTCACACAATAACAACGACCACCACCACGACAACAGCCGCCACGAATCCCGCCGCGCTTTCCGTCCAATCCACTTGCTGGCACAACTGCCAGAGTCGTGTTCTCCACTTCGTCGCCCGCTGATTCGTGATCCGATCCGATCCGACCACCATACCCAACCCAGCTGCCCGTCTGCCCACTTGCTCGCCTGCTCGCCTTTGCCCTTGCTCCCAACACCATCTCCACAGCACCCAGCCCCCTTCTCGACATCGCCCATCCTACCTAGGGCGGGCGCCGTTACATCCGCTTGACTAGAGCACGGAGCCGCAGCCCACCCACGCCGGCCCGGTCCCTAGCTCATCATCGTCAAAGCGACCTCTACCCATCTCTGCCCACGTCCGCCCTCGTTTGGAAAGCACACAGCGCTGCTCTGCTCCGCAGCAGAGGTCGAGCGCTGCCTATGGGCACCTGGCCCACGTCGCAATAGCCGCAGCATCAGCGCGCTCTGTCGGCGCTCCGCGGCGACGTCTCGATGGCCACCAACCACAGCTACACGTCCGAGGATGAGGCTCACGCCGCCACACAGCTCGCCACGCTCCGCGGCAGCGGAGACGTCGCGCCCTTGACCTTTGGGTCCGCCGCCGCTGCCTCGCGCCCCGCTCCTGCGACCAGCGCCGCCACCGCCTCTGCCACAGCTGCGCCACCGACCTCATCATCTCCGTACTCCATCGAAGCGGGTCCCTCGCAGTCCAAGCAGTTCAAGGCGGAAAAGACTGACAAGCTGCCTCGCAAGAACTCCACCGCCTCATCACCGTCCAAGCCACGTCCGGACAAGACCGCCGACGATGCGGCCGACGCCAAGCACTGCAAGAAGCGCCGCAGGGTCGTCGTGGCATGCGACACCTGCCGCCGCAAGAAGGTCAAGTGCGAGGGGCTACCCAACCCGACCAACACCTGCATCAACTGCAACGCCTACAACTACCGGTGCACCTTCTCCAGCGAGCCGGACCGGTCGCGCGGAAAGTACGAGATTCTCGAGAGCAAGGTCGAGACGCTCCTCAGCGCGCTCCGCTCGGTCGCCCCGCACATCGCAGAGCAGTTTGAGAGGGGCGAGCTCACCATCACGGGCCCCAGCGGTGGCAGCGCGCCTCCGCAGAACGCGACGGGCTGGCGCAGCCTTCACAGCGCGCCGGACGGCGAGTACGACGAGCTGAACGGCGGCGGTGCCGGAGGAGGCAATGACGCCGATGCAACGGGCTCGGACCGCGCTGAGCGGGGCAACGATGGCCAAGGGCGGGGAGGGCGGCAGGGCTCCGAGCATCCGGGATCGCTGTCGGGCGAGGACGCGGCTGCCGCATCCGCCGCCGCTGCCGCCGCCGCCAGGAAAGAGAATGATCGCGACGCCCTCATCCCGGACGTCGAGGAAGGCCGGCCGCGGTACTTTGGACACTCGTCGACGTTCTCGCTGTTCCACTCGCTACCGGCCGGCAAGCACAGCCGGCCGCCGAGTCCGGGCAGCGCGCTTCCGCGTCCACGGCATCCGGGCACTCGACCGCAGATCTTTGACAGCTACGAGGCCAGCACGGCGCGCGCGCGTACGTCGGACGAAGCAGGCGGCGGCGCTGGCGGCAGTGGCGACGGCAAGAGCGTCCGCTTCTCCAAGGAGGCGCCGCGGCCGCTGCATCCGACCAATTCCAAAGAGTGGATCCAGCTTCTGAGGCGCAAGAACACGGTCGCCGTCGGCAGAGACGACCTCAATACCGAGGAGTGGCTCACGCGCTACACGCTACCCGCCGCTGACCTCGTCGCCGATCTGCTGAAGCTCTATTTCGAGCGGCTCCATCCGCTGATGCCCATCGTCCACCGCCCCTCGCTCGAGCGTGACATTGCCACGGGCCGTGCCGACAAGGATGTCGCCTTTCGAGGCATGGTCTTCACGCTGCTGACAATCGCCTCGCGCCACTCCAATGACCCGCGCGTCTATGCGGACCCCAATGACCCAGATACGGCCGGCGACCACTTTGCCGCAGCGAGCCGCCTCTACCACCAGGTCTACGCCGCCAGCCTGACCAACGTCCAGGTCATGATCCTCACGGCGACCTTTATGCACGGCGCCATCGGCCCGGGCGCCAGCTGGACGGTGCTCGGCGTGGCCATCCGCGCGCTCCACGACATTGGCCTGCACCAGGAGCGCGCCTACCGCGGCTTTACTCCGTTCGACCAGGAGATCCGGCGCCGTGCGTTTTGGGGCGCCATGATCCTCGACGGCATCTTTTCGATCAACATGGGCCGCCCGCCGGGGCTGAGGCTCGAGGACTGCGACGTGCGCATGCCCCTCGACATCGACGACGACACGCTGGCACAATTCGAGGACGGCGGGCCCATTGTCGTCACCCAGCCGCCCGAGGGCCCGACGATCACCTCGGGCTTCATCCACATGATCAAGCTCAACATTCTGGCAAAGGACATTGTCAGCATCCTGTACACGCAGCGGTGGCGCGGCGAGGCCGGCAGGAAGCCGCCGCACAACGTGACCCGGCACGCGCCCGACTACAAGGACATGGCGCAGCTGTCCAAGCGGCTCGACCAGTGGGTCGCCGACACGCCCGAGCACCTGCGCACCCTCGACAGCCCCTACAAGCTGCAGGCGGGCCTGGTGCAGTGCGGCACCCACGACATCCGGCTCTACATCCTCAAGCCCTTCCTCGACCACGCGGCGCTCAAAAAGATCCTCCACCCGCAGTGCTCGCACCACGCGCGCGAGTGCCTCAAGGTCGTCCTCGAGCTTTACGAGGGCGGCCACGTCACCGACCTCGTCTTTATCTTCCAGCAGGCGCTGATGAGCACGGCGACGTTCATGATCACCGTGTGGCACGAGTGCCGCGACGTCGACCGGCTGGCCGAGGACAACGACCTGATCGAGGCGACGCTGCGCACGTTTGGGTCATTTGACGACCGCTTCTTTTCCAAAATCTTCCGCCGCGCCCACCGCATCCTGCGCAACGTGGCCACACGGACCATCCACACCATGAACTCGGACCAGCGCGAGCGGGTGAGCCGGCTGCTGCAGCGCGAGGGCGAGCTGGTGCCGTCGGTGCTGGCCGGCTCGATGCTGCTGGGCCCGTCGACGCGGCTGATGCCGCC